ATGGGTTGTACTTGAACACAGATCCTCTTGGGCCTAGTCCAGAGTCCTTTCCACTATCTGGGGCTGCCTCCAGTTTCAGACACTGGTCAAACTGTTGTTCTCCAGCTAATTCGTGTTAACAACTTTGTTCTCTAAAATATATGGGTGCCTGGGTGGCTCAGTCATCTGCCTTTGGCTCAGGTCATGATCCCAGGGTCCTGGGATCAAGTCACACATCAGGCTTCCTGCTCAGTGGGGAGTCAGCTTCTCCCTCTGCCCCTTCCCCCCAACTCATGCACTCACATGCTCTCCCTCTTAAAATAAATTTATTTTTCTCACAAAAATAAAATCTTTAAAAAAAAATGCTAATATATACTGCTTCCATTCACACCTTAGTCTGAAACAGAATTCTAAAAACTCAGTCAAGAGGGATATAAAAGTCATTAAACCAATAACCAACCTAATGATCAAACACCCTAATGACATCCTGGACTATTTACTTTAATTTGAAGTGGCCACTATTCTTCTCACATCTAACCTGAATCTGTTGTTACTGTGTACTGAGGAAATACTGGCCTGGTTTAAATGACACACAGTATATAGCATGAAGTTATCAGATCCTTCTGGCCAAGAGTTGTTAGGAGGTAGGTGATCGGTAGAAAGTTGAGGCAGGAAGCCTGTCCAATTTTGTCACTCTAAAATGCCTGTTAAGGGGAGCCTGGGTGGCACAGTCAGTTATGCATCCCACTCTTGGTTTCAGCTCAGGTCATGATTTCAGGGTCATGAGATGGAGCCCCTTGTCAGGCTCTGAGCTCAGCAGAGTCTGCCTGGGACTCTCTCTCCCTCTCTAAAATAAATCTTAAAAAAAAGGGGTGGGCACCTGGGTGGCTAAGTTGTTAGGTGTCTGCCTTCAGCTCAGGTCATGATCCCAGGGTCCTGGGATCAAGCCCCGCATTGGGCTCCCTGCTCCGCGGGGAGCTTGCTTCTCCCTCTCCCACTGCTTGTGTTCCCTCTCTCGCTGTGTCTCTCGCTGTCAAATAAATAAATAAATAATCTTAAAAAAAAAAAAGCCTGTTAAAAAATCCATAATGGACTATTTTTCTCCAACAGCTAAAAATAATCTGTTACTATCTCACAGATTTAATAAATCCAAAATGAAAATTGTGCTAAGAAAAAAATCACATAGTCATTTGGGAACCAGTAAGTCAGAAGGTAAAAGAAGAAACTTGCCAGTGCATTTAATAGTCCAACTTTTATTACATTTGCTAATCTTTTCACTCTGTTATTTGCTAAATCTAAATGCTCCCTACTATACTTCTGGCAGTTCAAAAACACCAACTTTTGCTTCATCCTAAGGATAAAATATGAAATACCAATTTCTGTGGTAAGAGTCTGACTATAAAATATAATCCAGGCAAATATTTAGCCAATCTCTCAAAGCATAATAAACCAATTTTAGATTATTAGCTATGATACATCCACTTTTAAGAAATTTACATTGCAAAAGGGAATAAATTTAGTCAAGAAAAGCCTGATGTTGGCTGTCTAGGTGGCTCAGTCCTTTGAGCATCTGCCTTTGGCTCGGGTCATGATCCCAGACTCCTGGGATAGAGTCCCAAGTTGGCCTCTCTGCTCAGCGGAGCCTGTTTCTCCCTCTGCCTGCCGCTCCCCTACTCACATAGCCTAACCAAAAGTCACTGATTAGTTTTCCCACAATTCAGTTGCTCTAGCAGGATCCTGGGGTTTACCAAAACTAAGATTTGAACATAACTGCAATCTAAAAAATGTACACGGATTATCCTTTCTTGATTATAAAATGCCAGAAGCTGAATTACATGTTTATTACTAGTTTCCATTTGTACAGCACTTTCTGAAGAGCTCACAAATATCTCATTTGAGGACAGTAAAGGAAGTTATGATCATCAATGTAGATGAGAAATCTGAGACACAGAGACTAAGTTACTTGCCCAAGGTCATAAAACCAACTAAAATGTAGAGGCAGATTTTTTTCAATATGCATTCTTTGAACAAATATCTAAAATGCTGACTAGGCATTAGGGACTGGTCAATGGTAGACAGACAGTCCTTGTTCTCCAGTTTAAATTCTAAAGGAAAAGAGACAATAAACAAGTAAACACAGAGAATGTAATTTCAGATAAATGCTATAAAATGGTAATGGGATAGTGATTGCAGAATGGCACAACTAGAGGTCAGAGATGGCCTAAGGAGGTGACATCTGAATTGAGCCTCGAATGATGAGGACATATCATCCAAGTGAAAGTCTATAAAAGCATCCAGGCCAGACAGAAGAAAAAACAAATATAAAATCCCAAAGGCAGGAAGTATCTTGGACAGCAAGGTGAGTGAAGAATGAAAGGGAGGAGTGTTTAGAGATGGTAGCCTGATCATATGGAGCCCTTACACCACTCCAGGAGATAGGATTTAAAGTGCAATACTTGGGGCGCCTTGGTGGCTCAGTCAGTTAAGTGTCCAGCTTTGTTTCAGCTCAGGTCATGATCTCAGGGTTGTGAGATGGAGCCCAGTGTCAGGTTCCCCACTCAGTGGGGAGTCTTCTTCTCTCCTTCTTCCTCTCCTTCTACCCTTCTGCCCACCCTCACCATGCATGCTCTCTGAAATAAATCTGAAAAAAAATATAATAGGAAGACAAAGATGAGATGATCTGATTTGTTTTAAAAGAAATCATTCAAGCTGCTATATGAAGAAACAACTGTAATATAATCAGGTAGAGGCTTGACCTTCAAAAGTACTGGTAATGGATCCTTGTTACTTTTGAGAACTTACATGTATATTACATATTTTTATAATTTCATAATTTTTTTTTTAGATTTTATTTATTTGATAGAGAGAGAGAGAGAGACAGCAAGAGAGGGAACACAAGCCGAGGGAGAAGCAGGCTTCTGCAGAGCAGGGAGCCCGATGTGGGACTCGATCCCAGGACTCTGGGATCATGACCTGAGCCGAAGGCAGTCGCTTAACAAACTGAGCCACCCAGGTGCCCTATAATTTCATAATTTTAAAAAGCAAATTGCAGAGATTTAAAGGTGGAAGCACAAAAACCAAGTAGAATACTATTGCAGTCCAGGACTGAGGTGATGGTAACTTGGGAGTAGTAGAAATGAAAATTAATAGAATTTGGAATATACCACAAAAGTATGGTAAATAGGTCCTCCCAATGGAGAGGAAGGAGCAGGAATGAAGGCTGACCAGTGGTTCTCAATGTGGGATTTTGCCTACCAGGGGACATCGGCAATGTCTGGAGATATTTTTGGCTGTGACAATTGAGTGTGTGTGTGGCGGGGGGGTGGGGGGGTGTTATGTTACTAGCATCTATGTATGCATAGAGGCTAAGGATGCTAACATATTATAGTACACAGTGGTATTTCAAACAGTGTCAACAGTGCTGGAGTTAAGAAATCCTGATCTAAACTGATTCCAACTGGTTCCCACCCTGGTTCCAGGAGAGTCTACAAATAAACTACAGATGAAGGGCCTTACTTTGAATATTTAGACACAACGAAAATAGAAATAAAGTTTGTTTGGAGGTATATTATATCACTCTGTGGTTAACATTACGTTGATCAGAAGGACTGGTATATGTCCAATTAATAAAATACGAAAAAATCCATTAATTAATAAATGTCATGTTGGACAAACTTTCTCAAAACAGAACTGAAAAAATTTTGTTTAGCAATACCCCCAAAAATGCTTTGTCTTTTTTTTTCCAGTTATACTTAAATCTGTAGTCCAATACATTTGCTGCTTTTCCAAATACAAATCCTCACCCCTCCAAATGTAAAGGGATAGGTAAGAACATTGAAGATAATCAGAGCTATTAATGGTTAAGACGATAGGAAAAGCTTCATTGGAGGAAAATGACCGCCCACTTGTAGCTATATGCATGTATCTGTCTAGTTACCTGACTTACTTAGGGCCCTGAACAAGCGGACACATTAATTGTAGTTATCAGGAAGACCGCAACACACATCTCTTCCAATTACTCTTAAAACTAGCAATGGGAAAAGTACTTTTTTAGACCTAATTCACAAAACATAAAATGCCAAAACTGGTAATGTTCATTTAGATAACAGAAAATACACACACTTAAAAAGTTATCCAGTCCCGGGATGACAATTCAGAACATTACATTTGGGTTCTCATAGGCAGGGGCTGGGGTAAACTACTTTAAGGAAGCCACAAAGTCAATTTTGGTCAAAAGATAGATGTTTTTGTTAATTATAAGATGACCTCAATAAAACTGGCCCTGGACACATACAGTGTCAGGTTATTAAGTGTAGTTACAACGGAATTTTACGAACAATCACGTTTTTAAGAGGCAAAGGGCAGTCGTGATTTCACAGCCTCATCCACATTACACAAAAATACCGAAATCAGCTCGAGAACTAAAAGGCCTCTAGCCCGAATTCACCCCACTTGTGATAAAACAGACCTGCCAATCTATAAGTAAAATACAGGGACACTTTACTACCCTGAAAATCAGGACGAGATCCCGCCAGGCCGGGCGGACGTTTTCGGAAACATCTCCGCTTGGCGTCCCGGGCGCGCTTCTACCAGGCACACTCCTGGTTGCAGCGCTCTCGAGATACGGTAGCGTCGCCCTTACGCCTGTCAACGTGACTCCCTTTCCCATGGATACACAGAATGACCCTTGGCGCAAAATTCACCCACAGTCCCTTCCCGAGTCTGCAACCAATAAAAAACAACTACTCTTTCTTCAGGTCTTAAGAAACGCACGCCAACCGGGGTCATCGCGCCAGTATCACCCACCACCCCGGAAGTACAAGCAACACGGCTTCAACAAGAGAATGCGCATAGAGGAGGCGCCAAAATAAATCCCACTCTCGCGATATCTTAAACACAAGTCTCGCGACATCCTTCTGCTTCTCCTTGTTTTTTAGCTCCACCCCCACACCAGTTCGTTGCTTCAAAACACCGCGAGATTTTCTCCTTTCAATCTCCGCCCCTTTACGGCACGATGGTCGCACAAGAATGTGATACAGGCTCGACGGCCGCCATTTTCTTTCTTTCTTAGCAGTTGGCTGAGGGAAGGTCTCTGCGAAGAAGCGGCAGCGGCCACTATAGCGTAGACATGGCAGACTACTCAACAGTGCCTCCACCTTCTTCTGGTTCAGCTGGTGGTGGAGGCGGCGGCGGTGGTGGTGGAGGAGTTAACGATGCTTTCAAAGATGCGCTGCAGAGAGCACGGCAGGTAAGTCTGGACCGCGCGGCGGGATCCCGAACGCTCATGGTAATTGGCCGCTGGCTGTGTAGGCCGCTACTTCTTCGCTCATGAGGAAGAGGAAAGAAGTGCCCTTCCGGGCTCTGAAATGTGAGGAGACTTATGGTTCCCCACGTTGGTGATACAGTTTGGAGGCTGGAGCTCGGTTTTGTGTATCTTGGTGTCTAAGCCACTTAGAACCCCAACGGGTGTTACGCATAGATGGCTTTAGGTCTTTAGCTTCTGCGGCAGTCGCGCTTCTTTCTCTGAGGAGTTAGCTTGGCATTTTCTTTTTTTCAGAGTGAACATTCTCCTCCATGGGATAAAGCGCGCGTAGTTTTTACACAATAGTATGGAAGGTTCTGGTAATGAGTTTGGGAGAGGACTAGGGTCTGTCCTCAGGAGCCATAGTAAGGGAGGGATATGTCAGTAAAGCAGTCTTTACAGTTTCCAGCTCATTCGAGCTCTGTCGAAATTAATCTTTCGGTATCATTCACTTTCATTATCTACAAGGAAGAGACTTAAGAGAGCACTAGTATCCCGTGTTGGAATCCTTCCTCAGAGCAGGATTTATGTGTCAGTGTGTTACCAGTCCTTTCCCCTTATTTCTCAAAATGGCTTCAGGCCTATTACACCCGAAGTTTCAATTTGAATCTGCCTCTCTGTTCAGAGTCGTAAACTGACCAGACCTCTTTGTATTACGTAGGTGCGTACATTTGCCTTGAAGGCAGTTCTTTTCCAAACGAAAGCTGTTTAAAAAGAAAAAAATTACTCCAGGAAATTTAAAGGCTACTTAATTTGAACTTTATTAGATGGTCCCTTAACGTAACTATAACTTAAAAGGTATGGAGTTATATGTAAGCAAAATAATTTTATTCTCCTTACGACATTTTTCATATTAGGTGCTAGACATTTTTAGATTACAGCGTTAAGCGAACGGGAATCAGAAACTGATTTTGTGGTATGTTTTGTTTGCGTTAGGAGTTAACGTTGTTAACCTTTTTCACCCTCCAGTTCCATTAAAGCATCGTTTGAGTCAAACTGCGTAAACTCTGTAATAATGTAACAAATCGTTTATTTTTATAATGTGAACACATAATTAAACTTACCTATACTTGTGTATGATCAGAAAGTCAACAAAAAAGTCACCATTAATACTAATTGTGCAGCTTTTTCACATTTTTGGAATAGCGACTGAAACATATATAATGACATAAATTGTTGGTTATTATTAGATTGGTTGAAAGACTCACCTGAATTATTTTATTCGACCAATGTATTGAAATTAATTTGTGCTGCACATTGTACTTAGATATTAGAGATTTTTTTTTTTAATGTGTGAATTGTATTTCTGCCCTAGGAAGTGATGATACAATCAAGGAACCAAATGCAAATGAATAGTAGTATCTGATTAATACTTTCAGAGAGGAGTAGACAAAAATGGGCACCGTTAATTTATCCACGTGTTCTGTAAACATTTATAGAGTTCCTGCTGTGAGTCAGGCACTGTACACAACACCAAAGAGTGGGGTGCCTAACTGCCAAAGGACTGATATTTTAAGCAAGGCATTAAAGAATGAGTGAAAGTTTGATCAGTGGAGAAAAGAAGCATGTGCAAAGGTATGAGGGTTTTTGGAATGACAGGAACCCAGGAATGAAGTCACTGGAGGATAATGATGGTTGGGGGAAAGAGGGTGGAAATTGAGGTGAGTACAGATGGATACAACTTCTGAAAGACTTCATGTTGCCATGCTTTAATTAAAAATTGGACTTCATTATTTGGCTAAGCTGTAATTTCCTAATTATGTTAGATGGCTTAATTTTTAAATACAGAAATTGTCCTCAAACTGGATTTCTTGTACTCACTTTTTATGCCAATAGGTCAGCTGCCTCAATGCTCTTGCTGTAATGATACGATTTTTATAGATGTCTTGCTGTAATAATTTGATTGTTTCTTTACAGAATTGATCTTAAGCCTGAGATTCCTAAATTTAGCTTTTGAGTTGAATTTCCCTTTCTGATTACATTTGAAGATGCCTCCATATGTCAGTTGTAGCTGCTTGTCTGATATATATAAATGGAATACAGAGAGGAGTACTTGGACTGACGAAACAAGTTAGGTTAATGTCTGAACTACTTTTTCCTTATCTATATTAAAAGCATGCTGGATTATATTTCCAAAATCCCCGTCTAACTTTAAGTTTCTTTTCTTTGTCCAGTGTATTATGCTGTGTTCTTGGAAGGAGGAGGTATAAGAACAGCTTCTTGCCCTCAGAGAGCTGTGTAGTAACGGGGATGCTATTGGCTTTTTTAACTGGACGGTTCTTTGTTAATGCAGGACAAATGATTACTACCTAGCTCATTTTGCCATCTGGTAATTTAGACCAAGTTGCTCAATCATTTTTCCAGAGAATTCCAATGGCTTATTTTTTAATGTGAAATTTCCAAATTTTTAAATACCCTCTGAGCTAAATTCAGCACAGGGGCACCAGATTGCTTCTCTAGTTTAGGAACCACTTGAGAGATTTATATTTGTGTATTTCAAGCTGTAACTCTAAAGGGTGGGGTTGGGATTCTTTGGTTAGGACTTTGGTGATCACACTAAACCAGTTTTGTCTCTGAAATACTGGAAAAGCAAAATGTATCTCTCTACCTTTTTTTTCCTTGACGTTACGAAGATAGAAGTGAATCAGGCTGGGACTCCATGATTGGTAGAACACAAATGAAGCAAGAGTATCAGCCCTGATTCTTTAGCTTCTAAACAGCTATTAGTCTTTAAGTACTCAGTTATTCTTGAAATCTCTTCCTTGATTAAAGTGATTCAGGCTGCATTATGTTTGAATGCAATGAAAATTTTATAAAATAGAATTGTTGACTTTTCAGTTACCAATAATTTCTGCTGAAAACGCACACTTGAGTAGGGTTTTTGGGTCTTTGTTTTTGTTTTTGCTTTTTTTTGTTTGTTTCTACATTTTGTGACAGGATAGCAAAGCTTGATTATGATAAAAAATTCCTCTGTTGTAGGAGGGCACAGTGTTAAAAAAAATGGTTGTTAGTATTTTTACTAAGAGCGCTTCTTAATGTCTTTGTACTCTTTCTGAATTTTTAAAATGGTGTTACTAATTCTTTTGAATGAAGCTTTCATTTTCATTTGGATAGTTTTAGAACTATTCAATGAATAATGGATAATAGGGAGGTATAAATAAGTATCCTTTCTATATGCGGAAGTTCCTTGGGAGTTCAGGGAGTGGTGTTGTGCAAACTCATGCAGCATTTATAAAAGCTAACTGCAGAAGGTATTCACAGCTTAAGATCATCAGTAGTTACTATCCTGTCTGGCTTTCTTCTCTAAAATCAGTGCCAGGCAGTGTATTTAAGTTCTAAGGAACAATTCAGATGTTAAGCCTTTAAAACTTAAGGGTGGAAAAGCAGTTGTTTTCAGGTATTTCTTTCAGAAAAGAAATAAGATTTTAATTAATTGCTCAAAGACATGGAATAGGCTTTTGAGAAAGTGAAAGGATGATTAAGGAAGGTTAGATTGAGCCTTTTTTTTTTTTTCAAGTAATCTCTACACCCGATGTGGACCCTGAGGTCAAGAGTTGCATGCTCTTTGAGGCAGCCAGGTGCCCCCAAAGCCTTTTTTAAATCAAGCATTTTAATAGTTAATCCTGATATGCTTTGTGAGGAAAAGGGAAATCTGGAAACCCTGGGAGGTACAGTTGGGAACTGATACATATTCAATTTTAAGTGATATGTAAGTGGATTTTAAGACTCAAGTCGTTGAATATACTTATCCTTTCCAGTTTTCTAATTATAATGAAGCATGAAGCAGTTGGTTTAGTTCCACATCAGGATCCCTTTGGGGGAATTCTAGGCAACAGAAGTTCGAATTTTCTGTGTAATTTTTTAACATGGAAAATTTCAAACATACTCAAAATTAACAATAATCTGATGAACCTCCAATGAGCGTATCATTCACCTTTGGTGATTACCCCTTCAGAGTAATTAGCATGGAGCTATGTAGAAATTGGGACATCTCCACCATTGACTTACCATGTAACCTGGTTAAGTTCCCTCTTGAGATTTTTTCTGCTGTAAAATGGATCATTATCTCACGAAGTATTCTCACCTCTTAGGGTTGTTTGATGATTGAGTGACAAAATGAGTATAAAACATATAGTATGGAGTTTGGCCTATTGCTCGCACTCAGCAATATTAGTTCCATATTTCTTTCCATAGAAAAATGGAGTAAATACCCACTGGTTGTGTCCTGCCTTGTGACTTGAGGCTGCTATTTTTTTATATGATGTTTAGTTAAGTGCAAGCAATTATTTGCCCCACTCTAAAAAAGTCTAAGAATCTGTAGCTGAGACTTTGCTTAGAGGTACAGCCTCCCAGACTTCTCCCACCCCCATGTTCCTGTAGAACAGGATTGTCTGATAGAAATATGATACAAATCATATATTTTATTTAATGCAGCATACCCAAAACGTTACCATTTTGACATGTGTGCAATATAAAAAAAAAAACAAAAACAGATGCTTTCTACTCTTTATATTTGATTCAAGTTTTCAGTATCCATTTGTGTATTTAACACTTCATTTGGGCTAGCCAGGTAACCATGTGTGGCTAGCATCTACCTTATTAGACAACACAGTCTTAGAATCCCATAAGGTGTTCACATTCTCTGTGCCTACAACACATTTTTTGAAGAGTCATGGGAAAGAGCCATGGAGAAGATAGAATTAGGACCACATTTTCCCCAAAGCTATTTATTTGTTGGTCAGTTGATTCTGAAGATTCCTGATTACTTCTTCGTTTGTTCTTACAGAGATTTATCAGAAGCTTAATTCCAGCTGATTATGTTTTAACTCTTTGAAGTTATTACTGGTAGTGATACATTGATCTGTAATTTTTGTTTTTCTTTGAAATGAATTTTTTTGTATTAGATATTTACCATTTGTATGTATGAGGAAATACAGCACTGAATAGTGTATAGTAGATATGTTATCCTTAATGATGGTGTGCTTTTGTTTTTTAAGATTGCAGCAAAAATTGGAGGTGATGCTGGTACATCACTGAATTCAAATGACTATGGTTATGGGGGACAAAAAAGACCTTTGGAAGATGGAGGTAAGTTATAGTCATAAGTATTTTAATTGTTTTATACACAGGTTAGTTGAAGGTGATTTTCAATATTTTTCAAATGTTCTTTTATTAAAACATTACTTTTATAATAAGGTTCTTAAAATTGTAAGGTTTATATTGGCCTCAGGAGGAAAGGGGGGGGGAGACCTTAGACAAGGTAGGTAAAATTTTGAGTCAATCAGCCAGTTTTGTCTTAGTAGAAAACAACATTTTCTCTCTTTGAGGATTGTGCCAGATTGACAGTTTGCACAGACATCTTGTTAATATACTGAAAAGAACAAAAATATAAAATGTTTAGAAGACATTTCACTGGTTTTTCTCATCATACGTGAATTAATCTTTATATGCTATGTTTTCATTGTTTTGCTATTTCAGATTTGACTTTAAAGGTTGATGTTGCTATAGCTTGCTACTGTAGTGTGTTGCAGGTTATACCTTTTTTTATGTTACTTTTTTTGTTTTAGTACCTTGTTTTGTGTTTCAGGTTTAACTCAAAATGTGGCTTAAAACAGATTTACAGTGCTTTGTATTTTTTAAAAAAACGTAATTGTTGAAGCTTCTGAACTTAGAAGTCTGCAAGTTTTTTTTTTGTTTTAGATGTATGAACTTTGATACATTTTCTTTTTGCCCTTTTATTTACTTAATTTTTTTTTTAAGGAGGATTCTGAATGAGCCTATAGAATGTATTTGTAGCTTTTGACCAGGTGTACTTGGTTTCCTTTTATTTAAGTGTCTTTCACATTTATAGTGAGGTTTTAATATACAAAAAAATGAGCTAATGATGCTTCAGATGTTGTATGTAATGTATTCTTTTTATTTTATGTGTAGATGGCTCTTGGACAAGTCCGAGCAGTACAACACACTGGGAGGGAATGCCCTCTCCTTTTAAAGGCAGGAATTTTTATTTATTACCTGTGTTTAGTATGTAAACGTGAAATAAACCAGTGGATTCTTAAATGGACACAAATAATTCTTGGATTATGTGTCTGAATTTTTGCTGCACAACATTCTGATGTTTAATCATTTAAGTTTGAAGGGGGGAGGAAAATGTAGTACTTTTCAGATGTAGGTTGTCTATTCTAAGGTATGCATTGTATTCATCTGTGTAAAGGATGTAGATGAAGGTAGTCATGTAGTTGCTTTGAGTTTTTCTGCTGAAGCGTATGCCGTGAAATGTTTGGTTAGGAACAATAGAATAGTTTAGATTGAGATTGCCTTGTAATGTGATTTTTTTATTTATTTATTTTGCATAGCCTTGTGGTCACTGTCAGATACACTCAACTTTGATATGTCAAATTTTCACATTTTGATAGGTTCTGTTTTTCTTCCAGTCTTCAGTTCCTACAGTGGGAAGCATCATTAGCCTTTAGCATGTGATATTTTGCTAGTAATGGACCTAAATACTTTGTCTTGTATCATTCTAAAGTGCTTAACATACATTAAGGTCAGTGATTTGATACAATCAAAAAGAATTTTTTTTAAATGTCTGTGCATCTTTTAAACATGAAAAGAATGAAAGAAATGTAATGTTTCTTTTGATTACTAAGAGTTTGGGATAAGTTTTGGCACTTTTGGTTCAAATGATCAACAATTATCCTCAGCTATTTCAATTAAGTGTTTACATTGATATTTATTCTTGCTTGGGCACTGGTTAGCTAAGTCTTATATTTGTATTTATTGGCAAAAAGTTAAAAGGCTCTTAATTTTGCAGATCAACCAGATGCTAAGAAAGTTGCTCCTCAAAATGACTGTAAGTATTTTAAATTGGGTTAAAAGCTAAAGTAACTGGATTTTATTTTAAAAGATTTTATTTATTTATTTGAGAGAGAGCACGAGAGGGAAGAGGGTCAGAGGGAGAAGCAGACTCCCCGCTGAGCAGGGAGCCCGATGTGGGACTCGATCCCGGGACTCCAGGATCATGACCTGAGCCGAAGGCAGTCGCTTAACCGAGCCACCCAGGCGCCCAGTAACTGGATTTTAGTATCAGGGTTTTCTGCCTGGATTTTGTTGGGTGTCTTTGGAGTTAGTTGATGGCCATGAATATTTTAGAATGAATGTCTTTGTAAATATTACTTCCTGTCTTCATAATCTCCCACTTCAATTATGGCCAGGTATATAGTAATAAGATTTGATTGCTAAATTATTTTCATATTCAATTTATTTTATAACTCCATTTTTTAACCTAAGCTTGTGCCCTTTGAGAAAGAACAGTTTCTGTGTCATTGCTAAAAATACCTGCTATTTCACCGACTTTCTTACCCATTGTCAATGTTTGTTTAAGTATTTTGCATACAATTTTACTCTCAAAGGTGGTGTTCTCTATGTGTATGGGAAAAAGTATTGCTTGATAGGATTGTATTATTAAATATGTGTGAACTTAAAAGTTTTCATTTTATTTGATTTTTTGGTAGCTTTTGGAACACAGTTACCACCGATGCATCAGCAGCAAAGGTATAGTGAAATGCTTTTCAAAGAGTACTTTGCAAGATTTAGTTCAACGGTCTGTAAAAACACAACGAAGTTAGCGTATAGTGAATATGTGTCTGTATTTTTTTTTGTATATTCATTTCTCTCCACTTAAGTTGATACAGAATGATCATTTTTCCTTTTGAGTGAGATGCATTTGTAATTTGGAAGGATGGGAAGAATTAGCCACATATTAGAAGAACTAAAGTGAATGAAAATAATTGTTAAAAAAACATTCCCTGAACTCCACCCCAACTCCTTTGCAGTTCATGCCTTCAGACTGTTCATCTACCATACCCTCGTCACTTGATGTCTCACCTTAAGATTCTGACTTGAACTACTCAAGCTGTATTTTGACTATGAATATGTGCCTGAAAACCTAGTTTAAGCCATTAGATGTCCATTTTTATTAGATTACCTTTTATATGTAAACAAATTCTCTTTCTTTGAAGGAAAACGTTAGTTTTTGTCTTTTGTTAGCAGGTCTGTAATGACAGAAGAATACAAAGTTCCAGATGGAATGGTTGGATTTAGTAAGTAGCCTAATTTTTAAAGCTTTGAAAACAATCAAAACATACTTTACAGTCTTTTAGCAAATAATTTTTTTTCTTTTTTCTTTACTAGTAATTGGCAGAGGTGGTGAACAGATCTCACGCATACAACAAGAATCTGGATGCAAAATACAGATAGCTCCTGGTAACATTCTCTTGCTATTTTCAGAGTGACTGGAAAACTAGGATATTTTTTTTAAGTAAATACTAAAAATGATGTTGTAATCTTTTCTTGGCCTAAAATATTTTTGGTGTTTTTTAATTGTAGACAGTGGTGGCCTTCCAGAAAGATCTTGTATGCTAACGGGAACACCTGAATCTGTCCAGTAAGTATGAAATCATATGCCTGAGGCTAGCCCCTCTTTCCTGCTGAAGAAGGACATTGCCCCTAAATAGAACTGATACTCTCCTGCACTATTAGTTTTCCCATTTTCTAGGTAATTTCTAACAAGGTATAAAGATGATTGAAAATCCCTCCCATCAAAATAAAACCTGTTCTTGAACCTCACATTTTTATTTCTCTGCCTACTTACACAATAAAACTCCTTAAAAGGGGTAGTTCTCTTTGCCATATCATTTGCATCTATTTTCATTTTGTCTTGAACTTGTATGAATCAGACTTTAATTCCCGTGGTTCCATTAAAATTGTTCTTTTCAAGATCACAAATGGCCTCTGCATCATTCCACCTATCAACATTGTTTGACACAGTGAACTACTTTCCTAGAGATATCCCCTCCCTAGCTCCTCTTTCTCAGGCATTCTTGGTTGTCCAACTTTATCTTCCTGGCCTTTCAGTATGAAAGTGCCACAAAATTCAGTCCTCCTATTGTCTGTCTACATGTACTCTTTAGATGACTTTATTTACTCTTTTATAAACTTTTTTTTTTTTTTTAGATTTTATATATTTGACAGAGCGACAGCAAGAGAGGGAACACACAGGCAGGGGGAATGGGAGAGGGAGAAGCAGGCTTCCTGTTGAGCAGGGAGCTGGATGTGGCCTCGATCCCCAGACCCTGGGATCATGACCTGAGCCAAAGGCAGATGCTTAACGACTGAGCCACCCAGGCGCCCCTATAAACTTTAATATATCGCTTTACATATTATAAATTTTATGTACTCCTAAATTTTTATTTTCAGCCTTGCTCTCTTTCTAAATTCTAGATTCCTGTCAAGCTGCTGACTTAGTATCTTTTTGAGGGGGCACCTCACCTGGTTGCACAGTTAAGCGCCCGACTCTTGGTTTCAGCTCAGGTCTTGATCTCAGGGTCGTGAGGTCGGGCTCCGCACTCAGCACAGAGTCTGCTTGAGACTCTTCCTCTTCCTCTGCCATTTCCCCACCCCCATCCCTGCACATGGGCACTCACTCTAAAATAAATCTTTTTAAAAGTACATTTATCTTTTTCTTGTCCTTCATTTATCCATAAGCAACTCTTTGGTCTTTTTTTTTCATAATTTATTTGGAATCCAGTCTCTTCTTGCCACCCTCTATACTATCACCTTGTCTATGACCATTTTTTATATTTCAACATGTTTCCATTCTTTTTAGCCTTGTTCAGCAATAGTCTATTCTTAGTAGTATAGACATACGATCTTTTTAAAATGTGAATCGGTTCATATCATTACTTTGCTCAAATCATCTAATGCTTCACCACTTCGAGTAAAAGTCAGCATCTTTATCATGGCCTGATTTATCTGCCACCTTTCTCACTTCGTTTTTTACCATTCTTCTTCCAACTCTGTTCAAACCCCATTTAGCTTCTATTCTTTCAGCACACCAAGTATGCTTCTCATCTGAGTCCTTTGCAATTTCTCTTAATTCTCTCTGGAACATTTTCCCTCTGATATTTTCATAGTTACTTTCCTTCTTCCTTTACATTTTTGTCAGAATGTCTCCTTATCAGTAAAGTCTTTTATGTCTGCTTTGCATAAAATAGCATACCTTTATGCACACACATTCTGTCCTTCTTACCCTGTTTTGATTTTGTTTATAGCACTTAACCAAACATGTTGTTTTTAGTTACTTAAGGTGAGCTAAACCAGCAGGAACCCTGTATGTTTCATTCAGTGTTGTAACTCTATTACTTAGAATAGTACCTGGTATGTACTTAACATTTCTTAAGTATTTTTGAATGGATAAATAAATTTTAATGTGTGAGTGACCAAAGTGATGTCTTAAAATTGGAAATACATCATTTAGTTAATTGGCAAAATAGTTTAATTCTGAGATAACTTTAGAAGTAGAGTGGGGGAAAAAAGTAGAGTGCTACTTCTTGGAAATTTAGGACTATCCTCAAAAATACTGCAAATTACATACCTAGAAAATTTATTGTATAGTTTCATTCTTTGTTCTTGATGGCATTTTCTCTTAATTAAAATTGTTAAATTAGCTTTAAGCCACCTAAACCTGAATTGGGATGGGAGAAGTACCTGCTTAAGTTATTTTTTATTTCTCTATTTGAATAACCTTTTGAGTATGCTATAACTTACTGTTTGACTCCTAATTTGTTAACAGATCAGCAAAACGGTTATTGGACCAGATTGTTGAAAAAGGAAGACCAGCCCCTGGCTTCCACCATGGTGATGGACCAGGAAATGCAGTTCAAGAAATCATGATTCCAGCTAGCAAAGCAGGATTAGTTATTGGAAAGGGGGGAGAAACTATTAAACAACTTCAGGTATTACTTTGTAAAATTACTTTTCATCTGTTTTGAAGCCAATTTCCTTCCACTCCCCTTTTGTTAAACATATAATTTCTTTGATTAATAGGAGCGGGCTGGAGTTAAAATGGTTATGATTCAAGATGGACCTCAGAACACTGGTGCTGACAAACCTCTTAGGATTACAGGAGACCCATACAAAGTTCAGGTAAACTTAAGTTTATATCTTACATAGAAGGATTTGGGGGCAGAATGGGCAAAACACATATGAATAATTAGTGTTTTGAGACATGCTTTGTAAGTTGGGTGTTGTTTTGTGTTTTTGTACTTCAGCAAGCCAAGGAAATGGTGTTAGAGTTAATTCGTGATCAAGGTGGTTTCAGAGAAGTTCGAAATGAGTATGGGTCAAGAATAGGAGGAAATGAAGGGATAGACGTAAGTAAAAATACCCATTCAGAAATGGTTGTATACTAACTGATAAATATATGTGGATTCCCTCCCCCCTGCCAACCGTCCCCCTTCCCCCCCCATAATTTATGCCTTAGAGTGCAGAATGTATATCTTGTTACCCTATTTGATGCAATCATAATACTGTATATACTTTTATGATTTGAGGTGGATTAATTTTCAGGAAATTACTTTCCTTAATACCTAGTCATCTTTGTATAAGGTCCCCATTCCAAGATTTGCTGTTGGCATTGTAATAGGAAGAAATGGAGAGATGATAAAAAAAATACAAAATGATGCTGGTGTTCGAATTCAGTTTAAGCCAGGTGAGTACATATATTTCATTATCTATGTATTAGTAGCAGTTAACTTTTTTACACACATTTGTTGCTAACTCAGTCCAATTTGCTTCTTGGTTTTGAAGATGATGGAACAACACCTGATAGAATAGCGCAAATAACGGGACCTCCAGACCGATGTCAACATGCTGCAGAAATTATTACAGACCTTCTTCGAAGTGTTCAGGTTTGACAGATGTTAATATTTTCATTGTTTCATTTTTATTTAAAAAATGTTTTCCTTCAAGTCTGAAAGGGTCCCCCCTCCCCTTTAGTTTTATTTATATCAGAATCTGTCTGATGATACTTTGTTAATAACTGGAAAGTTTAAGTTGCTTTGAGGTAGACATCTTGGAGTGGGAAGGTAGGGAAGGTAGCTACGTGTATTGTCTTATTCATCCCAGTATAAAAAGAATAAATGGTGGGTATTGTTGACTATTTGGGCCACGTCATCTCCCAGCTTCTTGAATTTCTGGTATAGGAAAATGAAGGTTGAGGAAGATAGACACGTGATGACTTTATCATGGAAAGAAGAGTATGATTCTATGCTGACTTTCCTTCTTCCTCTTTTTTAGGCTGGTAATCCTGGTGGACCTGGACCTGGTGGTCGAGGAAGAGGTAGAGGTCAAGGCAACTGGAACATGGGACCACCTGGTGGACTACAGGAATTTAATTTCATTGTACCAACTGGGAAAACTGGATTAATAATAGGAAAAGGCAATGTATTTTAAACTCTTATTAATGTTTTGATGTGTGGGTAAAAATTTAACACATGGCCGGATTTTTCTATATGCTTTTTCTGTTGTAAACCAGTAGCAGTGATTTTTCCTTTGCTGTATCTTATGTTGATTTCTAACAAAAACATAAATGAAGGGCCTTATATATAAAATAAAAGTGGGATTTGAATCACATTGGCTTCTAGAGAGGGGACCAACAGTTTTAATTATTAGTGTAAGAAATTTTTCCTGACTCATATCTTATTAAAATTTAGAATTTTTTTGTAAGTGTGTTAGTTTATGTTACTTGTAAAAGCAATTTATTTGAGCCAGATATTTTAAGTTATAGTTTTTTTTGTTATAATTCATTTTAAGGTTGGGTGTAGGTATACTGATTTATGTCTTAAAACTTAAATGTGTTTTAGGAGAAGTATGAATGCTTTATATAACTTGATTTAAAGTGTAAAATAAATGGGAAATCCCCAAAAAATATGGGCAGATGGGATACTGCTCAAAACTTTTTTTTTTAATGGCCCTTTTGTGACCATTTTCTTTTGGATAGTTCCTTTTGTATCCTTTGAATCTTTAGAGAAATTAATGTGTTTTGATTTTAGGAGGTGAAACCATAAAAAGCATAAGCCAGCAGTCTGGTGCAAGAATAGAACTTCAGAGAAATCCTCCACCTAATGCAGATCCTAATATGAAATTATTTACAATCCGTGGCACTCCACAGCAAATAGACTATGCGCGGCAACTTATAGAAGAAAAGATTGGTGTGAGTATGCTTTAAACCTCAATTTCTAGGGGTGCGTGGCTGGCTCAGTCAGTAGAGCATGTGAATCTTGATCTCCAGGCAGTGAGTTCAAGCCCCACATTGGGCATAGAGCTTACTTAAAAAATAGGTAGGGGCGCCTGGGTGGTTCAGTCAGTTGGGCATCTGCCTTTGGCTCAGGTGGTGTTCCTGGGGTCCTGGGATTGAACCCCATGTGGGGCTTCCTGCTCAGCAGGGAGCCTGCTTCTCCCTATCCCTGACCCCACTTGTGCTCCCTCTCAAATGAATAAATAAAATCTTTAAAACACACACACAACAGTTTAAAAAAACCAAATACATAAATAGATAACCAACCTCAATTTATACAAAGGCCCTCTTAGTTAAATAAGACATTAATTCACATGTTCCTATAATTGCTATACAGAAAAATGCCAATTTCTAGTCTAAGATTATAGGTTTCATCATATAATGGTTACATATAACATAGAAAAGATTCTCCAGCAGTGAAAAATAACCTAATTAAATACACATTTATAAGTATTCAGAACCTTATATTTGGGTGTGGATAAATAAGAAATGGGTAGCGTTACTTGCAGATACGATGTTAGGGTTGGTGGAGGGTTATAGAGTATACTTGAAGGACATAGTTAATGAGAATTCAGTATTTAATAAGGGGCTTACTTTACTCAACCCTGCTGAGGTAAATATGAGTTATATGCATCCCCCACTTTAGAGTAGAAATTTACAAATCCAACTCTTAGACTGACAATCGCTTAAGGAGTTTTAGATGTGTACTACTTGAATGCTTTCCACCTCTACACATACCACACAGCTCTGATTCAGAATGTCTGGAACAGGGCCCAGCATCTAATTTTAGAAGGATGTTCCAGGTGATTCTGATACATGGCCAAATTTGGAAATTTTTCCTTTAGAAGAGTTTCCTGGTGGTAGTACAAAAAAATGTATAGAGAGTCTTGATTGTGCTTTCTTATAAATGAGGAACTACTAGTGTTTTACCGCATTCTTTTACTATAGGGCGTAGGGGAGCATCTTAAGTTACTAATAACAATTAGAATTTCTTAGGAAAATTCTCCGTGGTGTTTGCCATGCTGTGGATGGGATAGAAAAGAAGTTTGACACGGTTTATGTTTCAGAGAAAGACAAATATAGATGTACAAAAGATGCTTAAAGAATGTCTCATAGGGGTTCCTGGCTGATTCAGTTAGTAGAGCATGCAACTGTTGATCTCGGGTTGTAAGTTCAAGCTCTACATTGGGTGTAGAGATTACTTAAAAACAAAAAGAATGTATTATAAAAATACATAACATTGTAAGTTCTATGGGATGGACAATAAGTGTTCAAAAACAAAAAAAATAATTTTGGACATGGTAGTGGCGGAGATTGATCCTAGAAAAATGAACACATCTTGGTTTTGGGTTTTACAGTGCTTAGTATTGCATGGATCAAGGTTTCTTCTGGATTGATGGGCAAAAAGATAGGTTATAGAGAAGCAGTTTAGTATGGCGGTTATGAGCATGGACTCTTGGAGTCCCATGTTAGGGTTCAGAATACTCTGAGTCATTTACTGACTTTGTGACCTTGGAGTAAGCTATTTATACTCGTTTGCCTCTCGTTTCTTCTGTAAATGAGGATAACAGTAGCTCCTTTATGGGGTTGTAGGGATTAAATAAAGTGTGTGTCACTTAAAAGAGTGGCACATAGCCCTATAAAAATATTAATACTTTTTCAGTAATCCTTTTTTACTTTTTAGAAAGGATGGTTTTTGGATAGTAGAAGTGAGTGATAATGACAAGTTAGAGATTTAAAGGGATAAAGTAATAAAAAGGATTTTAAAAGTCCTGAAGTTTAGCTTCATTATTTTGTAGTGCGAAAATAGACAACCAAATGTGGTTTAAGCAGTTTGCTCCAAAACATCATGAACTGTATTAACTGCATGAAAGCTGTGTTTAGGACGGTTAAATCTAGTCTAGTGGTCTTTACAAGTTGGATTATGAAGAGGAAAATCAACTGAGCTTTATTAATTATGTGGTGTGATATGAATATGAAGATACGGTATTTGGAAAATGATAAAGAGCAAGAGGAAATGAATTTAAATTGTTCACGTAAATGGAGTTCAGTGACACAAAGGTTGTGAAGAGGATAGTTTTTTGAGTGAGAATTGTTACTTTATTAGTAAAGTACCCAGTAGACAATTCACAATATAAGCCCTAAGCAGTTTGGGGAATATATCGTCAAGGTGGTTGTCTGATTGTTAGGAAAATAAATGTAGAATGGATGCAGAAAAAGAAAAGCTAGAGACAACATATTTGATAGGCATCCATGATTAAAATGATAAAGGAGTAGTAAAAGAATTAAAAAAGGAAAGGGAAATAACAGAAAAGGGAATAGTCAAAGGAATAGAATGGAAGGTAAAGGAGATGTTTCAATTCTTTGCTGATGCTGTTGATTTTAATGAATTTACATGTCTCAGTATGGTAAAGAGTTTAAGCAACATGAATGAGAAAATGAAGGAAAATCTAAAATATGTTGCTTGTGGCTATATGAAAGGGTAGGAATGGAAGGTTAATTTGGCCTTTGAATTGTTCAGCCATTACCATTTTTCTGATTTTCTGCATCTTTCTGCTTTTTTATAGGGCCCAGTAAATCCTTTAGGGCCGCCTGTACCCCATGGGCCCCATGGTGTCCCAGGTCCCCATGGGCCTCCTGGGCCTCCAGGGCCTGGAACTCCAATGGGACCATACAACCCTGCACCTTATAATCCAGGACCACCCGGCCCTGCTCCTCAGTAAGTATTGAGTTTGGTTCTGGGGTTTTCCCCCCAAAGATTCTAGCTTTTGGTAAATTGTATTTTTATATTGATTTCTATCTTTTCAGTGGTCCTCCAGCTCCTTATGCTCCCCAGGGGTGGGGAAATGCATATCCACACTGGCAGCAACAGGCCCCTCCTGATCCAGGTAAAAGATATTTATCATTCATGTGTAATCTGTATTGTTTGTCATTCCTGTTATCTTCTTAAATTTTCTAGTGTCAACTCTACGTTGTGTGCGTATTTCTGCACTTAACACTCTTCAGCAGGAGTCTTAGTTTCTGGTTTTACCACGTTATATAAGATTGGTGTGAATATGGTCTGTTTTCAATGAACTTTTTTTACTTGCATTTGGCTTTCTGTCCTTTAAAAGTGTAAGGGCAGAGTGCTAAAAGCCAAAACTACAGGAAGAAGTACAACGTCTTAGTTTTAAACACCAGTGCCATCAAATGTATAATGTGTCAATTGTGACGTTATCCATGAAAGAGTAGTGTACGTTTATTTATAGAACTATGTGAGTGTCTAATGGAGCATTTAATACTTGAGTATTAAACTTTGAAGTTCTCAAATAAGATATATAAGATGTTTTCATATTCCTGATATGGTAATTTCACATATTCGTAAAAATCAGGGCTGTGTTTAATGTCTGCATGTTAGAACTCAAAAAATACATTTAGTTAAATGTATTCGCTGTTCAGAACTGGATTTTATATGTACATTCTATTCTGTTACTGCATCTGCCATCCTCTAGTTTTCTTTCCATGATGGTCAAAGGAGCGTTCATCGAAACCAATTAACATTTATTTATGATCCTTCTTTCTCATCTACTACCTATCTTTTAGGCCTCTTTCACTGGAGTAGTTTCAAGGAAGGTACTGAATTATGGATTCCTTTCCACACTAGTGTATTTATTTCTTAAAAGAACCTAAATAATTAATTTAAATGAAATTGTTTTAGTGAATTTAATTAAACATTCTGTTATTTAAATGTGGCCCTATATTGTAACATATTTTAATTTCATAGGATGTGTGCTCTTTGGAATATGATGGCACAGCATGACAGTAAGCAAATAACCACAACTTATACTCACTCAAGAAACAACTTGAGTGTGCAAGGATGTGGGTATGCAAAGATTAGTTTACATTGTATAGCAGAAAAGTGCACTCTAAGTGTTAGCAGTGCTGTGATGACTGAGAGTCAAATATAATTTAATGTATAATAGTTTAAACATCTCTTAAGAATGAAAAGACTTTTCCTTCCCTCTTGTAAACTAAGTGGGATGGTGTGATTAGGCAGAAAAATCACATAATTTAAGAGATTCAAGAGTTTGAGCAAGTTAAGGGGTGAATTTATATTGGGAAACTTGGATCTGCAGGATTGCACCTTATGAGCACTGTTTGGGTCAGTAACATGATTGAGAAAAATGTTGGGAATCAGAAGTAGTCTCTATCACAGTCAAGTTTTCCCAGTGGGAGTAGTGAAGTCACCACTGTAAGAATTGGTTGATGAATATGGCTTGCAGCATTGCCTTTGGAAAAAGAAGTAACCCATTTAGCTAAAAGATAGCAGCTGGTGTTAGATATTGCTTATATTAGACTTAGCAATATGTAAAAACCAAAATTATTATTAATTAATTTATTTATAAGATTTTATTCATTTATTTGACAGAAATAGAGCAGGAACACAAGCAGGGAGAGTGGGAGAGGGAGAAGCAGGCTTCCCGCCGAGCAGGAATCCCGATGTGGGACTCGATCCCAGGACCCTGGGACCATGACCTGAGCCGAAGGCAGATGATTAACAACTGAACCACCCAGGCGCCCCCCCCCCAAAATTACTTTTTTAGATGAAACTGTTTTAGTGAATTTGATTAACATTCTGGTGTTTAAATGTGGCCCCATAATGACAAAGTCCATATTCTCTGAATTAAAATATTTTTCTTTGAAAAATAAATGGGCTGTTGAGGACTTATGTAGTAGTCAAGAAATTAGATTCAGAGTGAAAGAGACCTTGATAAGCCCTAGTGCTACAACTTTAGTAATTGGGGTAGTAAACAAGTTTTTTAATCCCTCTGTATCTTTTTTCTTACCTATAGTATGATAAGTGAAAGATAATCATGTTGAATAATTATTAAATTCTTTGTATGTATTATATGGAACTGTGAGACTGGTTCTCTTATACCCTCTACACATTCAGGAGTACAAGTATCATTTTCTAAAGTCTGTTTTTTTTTTTTTTTAAAGATTTTATTTATTTGAGAGAGAGAGAATGAGAGATAGCACGAGAGGGAAGAGGGTCAGAGGGAGAAGCAGACTCCCTGCTGAGCAGGGAGCCCGATGTGGGACTCAATCCCGGGACTCCAGGATCATGACCTGAGCTGAAGGCAGTCGCTTAACCAACTGAGCCACCCAGGCGCCCCTAAAGTCTGTTTTATCTCAGTTTCTCTAGACAGAGATGGTGTCAAGTGAAATATTTGTATTAATATACAGGTAATGACACAAGACAAACATTCAACTTAGAAAAGCACTACATTTATTACTTGAGGATGTTGTGGAGGATGGATCATGCCTTAAAATTGTATTACCTTAGACATTGTATCATTCTAGAAATCCTTGCTCCTTTTCTCTCAAACTTACTAAACACCTGAGACTTGCTGCCCATTTGGGATAAAAGCTAAACAGATTTCACATAGATACAGACTCTGGCAAAGGAAATTACATTTTTCTTGATAATATAAACTTAAAAAGACATTATCTATAGTGTCAAATGATATTCTTGATATAAAGGACAGAATCAAGAAGAGGATTTCTGTTTCTGACTGAGAGATCTCAAACTGTTACTGCATGAGTTTTTTATGAAGGATGAAATGAGGGTGCAAGTGCAGAGAAAGCATAACATGGTCTAAGGCCAGATAATGAACGTGGCAACTTCTGAAAAGTACAAGCAGTTTACTGTGACCAGAACTTGAGTGTTGGAAAAATATTGACAAATGGGGGAAGATATGGCTAGAATGGAAAGGATAAGCCAGGGGGTCAGATCATTAAAGATGTTGAGTGATAATGTTGCACTTAAGAAAAGCTTCAACAGCCCTGAAGACTCTATGGAATAAATGAAGAATTTCAAGTAGGGCAGTAACATCAAGTGTATGTTTTAGGATAATTACTGTGAAATATGAGGAGATGAAATATGGCTAAATCTTGTTTATTTTTCAAGATTATGTTGTCTCTACATTGAAAGCAAGACAGGACAGAATTCATAGTTGTAAAATAATTGTTTCTTGTACAGGTTAGTTCCTAGAAATCCTTTTCCTGTAGTCATCTGTCATGTAGAACAGCTGTGCTTGAGGCAAAACCAGTTTAGGAAGAAACCAAGGCCATGGGATGGTTTGAAGCAAAGCATTGGATTTGGAGACAAAAGATCTTTATTCCTATCCTAATTCTGCCACTCAACTAGTTCTCTAAGAACGTCACTTAATCTCTGTACCTCACTTTTCTGTGATTAATGCTAATGATGACAGTTAAAGTAATAGAATTGAAAACGTCCCATTTATTATTTATTTTTGATACCAGTTAATTTGGGGGTCTGTTTATTTACTAGAGTGTGTGGGTGAGAGAGAGAGATTACGGACTTCAGATGCAAACCTTGAACTTGTGTTTATTCTAGCTAAGGCAGGAACGGATCCAAATTCAGCAGCTTGGGCTGCCTATTATGCTCACTATTATCAACAGCAAGCACAGCCACCACCTGCAGCTCCTGCTGGTGCACCAACTACAACCCAAACCAATGGACAAGGTAACTATGGTAATTAAAGAATTTATTTTGTATGTAGAAGTAGAAACTTGTGTTTGGAAATTTCCAATATTTAATTATAGCTTCAGTGAGCAGACTTTCCTTTTTAAAAATAAGTTTGAAATAATTGCAAACTTTCATAAAAGTTTTAGTTGTAAGATAGATTTACAGAACACCCAGGTAACCTAGCTGTTAATATTTTACCTCTCACCTCTGATTTGTCCCATTACCCTGTCATACATGCCCATATCCATTACCAGTAGTTTTTGAGAACCATGTAAGACCAGGCCGTACACAGGAAGTCCCAGTAACCTTAAGTACTCTTTCTGTATTACTCCAAAAATACATTACCATCATACAGCCTGCTAAAACAGTTAACCTTGATACATCATTACTGTCCCAATGTAAAACCCTTACTCAGATTTCACCAGTTGTCCCATCAGTTTCTCTATTCTGATCCAGGGTCCCATCTGGCAAAAAAGTATAGACCTTTTGTTTTGCGAGATGATGATCAAATCAACATAGGTTCCTTCAACTTTTTCTCACAAAGATGAGGTCATGATCATGAGGTCCTACTTGTTAGTTGGCAGTACCTCCTAAATAATGCTGTGCTCTTGGTGCATTATATCGTGGGGTCATATAATGTTGACCTGCTTCATCCCTGGAGATGGTAACCATAGTCCATCGGTCATGTTGGTGTCTTGCCAGGTTTCTAGACTATAAAATAGCGTTTTTCTCTTTGAAATTAATAAATATTTTTGGAGAATTATACTGAGATTATCTTTTTTCCTCATATCAACTTCTCTGATAACACATTCCTGATTCAGCTACAGCTATGATGATAATTTTTATTTACATCATTTTATATGTTATTAGTTGGTATTGTACTATAAGGAAGAAGTTTTTTTCCTATTTCTATCAGTATGGACTCCTGTTTTATTCAACATGCTATGGTTTTAAACTATCTTTACTATATGATTATCAGATTGCCCTAGCTTTGGCTAATCAGGAGTACCTTCAAGATGGCTCCTGTATCCTTTTGACATGTCTGTTATTCTTTAAGCACATCCTTACTTTCTTGCACAATAAGATGCTTATTTTGTGCTTTCTGGGCTCTAGAATCAGCCATTTTTCCAAGGAGCCCTGATTCCTTTTAGTAAATACCATCATCTAAGAAACCAAACTCAGTGTGTTCATTGCTACTAAGCTGTCATTGCTTCTAAATCCTTTCAGCATACAGAGCTAAGAAATTTACCTGTATGTATATCTACATACACATATATGAAACAACATAAATAATCTATATATGTATATAAGACTATTGTATCTCCTGCAATTCCATTATAATACTTCAGGATTCTTTCTAGCTTTTTCCCTTTCCATGCTTATATATAAATGGTGAAAGACCTATCTTCAGTGTGTTCCCTTATTTAACCAATGAATTTACTTAAATGCTCAATGTGACTACTCTTCCTTCCATTGTGTATAGACAAATTTTCTCTTGACTGCCTCTATACCCCCTATGTCTTTGGCACGAGCAGGAATCCCACTACCACACAGCACCCTCACTCCCTATGACAGGCCGCTCCCAGTTTCTCCACTCAAGGAACAGAAGGAAAGAGCCAAGAATGTCTTCTGAAACCCTTAATCTTACTATTTGTTGTTTTTTGTTTTTCTTAAGGAGATCAGCAGAATCCAGCTCCAGCTGGACAGGTTGATTATACCAAGGCTTGGGAAGAGTATTACAAGAAAATGGGTATGTTCTACATTTCTTTTTTATACATTTAATTAAACTGCAATTGAAGCATTTAGTAAATATCACACTAGAAAGGATGAAGACCGAGAAAACCATGTTTGTATCATGTTTTTGTTACTGGGACTTTTTATTTTTAACTTTTAAATTTTGGAGAATAATTGAACGCATTCTAAAATCACTGAACTTTTGGGTGTATCAGGGTTACAGTTAATTCTTAATTTGTGGTCACATAACAAGGAAATTTTATTTCTAAATGTATGTGTCAACCACTTAATAATTGAAACTAAAAATTGCCCCATTGGCACATATAACATTGGGTATTACTTGCACTTTTGTCAAAGATAGTTACATATAATAGTAGCCTAACTGGCGTCGGTTAAATTAGAGTGCCAAGCAAAAATTTGTTGTGTGTGCTATTTTCTGCTGCAAAATAAAACTGACAGTGACATAGTACATTAATTACTTAAATAACATTTGTGTATATGAAAAAGAAAAAGTCACCTAGAAAGGCCATTTCCATTCAGTAACTGTAGAGCACATACCACATGCCAAACATAGTGAAAGAGCTGAGAATGTGATTATGGGCATAATAGCAGGAGCCCCTGCCCTTCTGGTTTTATTCTCATGGAGGATACAATTGTTAATCAAGTACTTTGCCAGGTATATTACTACAAACTGTTACTAATGAAAAGAACTGTATTTCCACTAACACGTCACATGTACAGCTACTAAGTGGTAGCAGAATTTGAACTCCCTAGAGGGCATAAATCCCAAGTCTATCTCCCAAATTGGCCTTTTCCTGGGACCACTTGGAACCTGATATTATACTCTTAACCCCTGAATAACAACATAAGTTTGAACTTAGCGGGACTACTTACAAGTAGATTTTTTTTTTACAGTACTGTAAATTAATTTTCTTTATAGTTTTCTTAGTATTTTTTTTCTAGCTTACTTTATTGTAGAATACAGTATATAATATGTAAACATACAAAATAGGTGCTAATCAACTGTTTATGTTATCTGTAAGACCTCTGCTCAGCAGAAGGCTATTAGTAGTTTTTGGGAAGTCAAAGTTACATGTGGGTTTTCAACTGTACAGGGGTCAGTGCCTATAACCCCGAGTTGTTCAAGGGTCAACTGTATTTCTGAACAGATAGTTTTTGCTTTTAGAAGCTTGTGGTGTTAGTCATTTAAAATTAACACATGTATACCACAGCCACTTACCACAAATGAAAGCTAAACAGATAAACTTATCCACCCTTCACTGGAATAGAACGAATCTATAGATGGTATAGATGGTAGAATTTTTCTCATAAGATATAGTCTGTTTGAGATTCTCAACCTAAATTTCAGTGTCTGCCCATGGATGTTTTGTCATCTTACACAGAAAGAAAAATTTCCAGAAGGGTAGTTATATTAATCTTTTTTGTGTAGGATACATTTGCCTGGTGATAAGGATGTTTTACACAGCGTGATTTCTGTTTAAAGAAAAATTGTTTTTCCTCAAAACAGTATATTCTATTTAGGGTGATCACGTAATTTATTGTCCAGAGTTGGATAGTTTTGAGAATAACTGAGGATGGTATTCTGTCAGGACTTATGGTCACTCTAATAACTTGTATGAAATAGTGTCACCATTTTAAAGATTTGAGCATTTGCAATTAAATTGTTGCAGTTAAAAATCATTGGGTCCAACTTACATTTTCACAGTGGTTAATAAACCAGAGATGTTCCCTAAGTTAATATTAAAATAAGTAAAAATAGGCCTGTTTGTGGACCTAGAAAATTATTGGGGAATTAGTGCAACTTGTATTTTAGTATATTTTATCATTCATTTGCAGCATGGCCATTAATTACTGTTTAGCATTCTTAATATTTTACTTGCCCGAAGTGAGGGATGCATGTTGAATGTAATCTTTGAGGTCTTATTACCATTCAGATTTTTAAGGATAGACTTTTCACCTTGCCATTCTTTTAATTTTTCATTTTCTACCTTTACTCTGCTGACTGTAAAATTTTAATTTTATAGATACTACGCTGGACTCTGTTGACTCCTTTGTGGAGAAAAATGTTACAGAAATAGTTAAATAACACTATGTTTGGCCTAAGAGCCTCCTTAACCCCCACCTTTTTTTTTTTTTCCAGTTATGTGTTTTTCTATAGCATGACATTGATCAGCTGTTAATTTATTGAGCAAAGGATTAGTTTAATGATTCTCTCACATGTAAATCTTAAAGGAAATAATGTTAAGTTGCCAGGTCTTTAATGTTAGCTACAAAGTCAATTTATTTTTTCCTTTAAAAAGTTCTTTTGTTAAATGATTGGTTGCTTAACTACCTTAATTTCTCTTAGGTGCATTACTGGTCCTTAAGATCCTTTTATGACAACTGCGCATAAGCGACCTTAAAGCATAAAACTAATATAGTTCAGTTTTCAAGATTTTTATGTATGTATGTACATGCGTATGTATTTAAAGTAGTCCGTATACCAACGTGGAGCTTGAACTCACAACCCGAGATCAAGTCACATGCTTTACTGAGACAGTTTTCAAAATTTTTTTATTTTTTTAAGATTATTTATTTTAGAGGTGCTTGAGCAGGGGGAAGGGCAGAGGGAAAGAAGCAGACTCTGTGCTGAGCGTGGAGCCAGATGTGGGGCTTGATCCCACAACCCTGAGATGACCTGAGCCGAAATCAAGAGTCGGATGCTTAACCGACTGAGCCATCCAGATGCCCTCAAGATTTTTAAATGAAAGGGAAGAAAGTAATAAAATATTAGGGAGATAAAAATCTTTTATCTCCAAATCTAAGTCCCCTATTGGGAGAGGCCAAGTCCAGTGGCAGAGCTGTGATTTTCTAGGACTCTGGACATCTTAATTCCCAATCCAGTGCCCTCTTTACCAAACTAGGCAGGCTGTCCTAGCTTTTGAAGGCAAATTTCAGCTTTTTCTGTTAACAGAAAATACCCACTAACACTATAAATTTGTCATTGTTCACTTATAAGTAAATAAACCTCTTAAAACAGTTAAGTTTTTAAATTTGTTTCGTTTTCTGAAACAATTCTAAATTTCCTAGGATTAACAACAACAGAATTTAGGAAAGAAATTCATAAAGATGAATTTATTAGAGGGTTAATGAAGGAAATTTTAAGTCTTAATAAGGAATGGCAGCCAACATGGAAGAGTAGGTATTTTTGAAGCTAGAATGAAGGGAACTTTTGTAATAAGTAAACACCCTAAAGAGAGATGAAGCAGAATTTCAAAGTAGAGACTGACAGTTGCCCTTTGGAAGAGGGCTAGTGAAGGCATTTTTGGAAAAGTTGGGAGTTGAGGAAAGCCCTTATATAATGTTAAGCGCTGATACGGTGGACACTGCACCTTTGGTGTAAAGGCCAGGGGATGGGTGGTGGAGGTCGTGTGGTGGGGAACGTGGTTGTGGGAAAGATGCAGGTGTTTAGAGAGAGAATTTAGAGTGAAATCTATTCAATCAGGTTTGGCTCAGGAATGTTACCTGTGAACTTGGACAAGTCTCATCTCTTGAATGAAATGAAAGTAAAACCTTATATATTGTAATCCTGTATGTAAATATTAAGTAATGTTTTAAAGTATAAACTAAGCTATCTGGCCTTCAACAGTTTTTGAACTAAGGATAAAGGGAGCCAGCTAAGGACATTCCTAAAAGGGGCAGAGGGGCACAAGAGGCTAGGGGATAGCCAAGTCCCAAGTAGATAGGAAGAGTTCTTTCTTTACTTTCAGCAGGGCAAAATGAATCACATTTGTCCCCCAGATTGGGGGAATGAGTTAAGTTTTTCCTTGGACACTTTCAAGAAAGGAGTGTGAGGTGTTTACGACTTACCAAGTGTTTGTTTTTCTTAAAGTCTAGTATGTTTACCTTTCACTTCCCACAGAAATATTTGAGTTGGGGGGAGGGTAGGGAACATTTGAGTTTGATGAGTTTTCTTAATGTGTCTCCCTGTTTCTACCATCTTAGTTATTTTGCCTCTAAAATGAGCATCTAACAATGATCAGTTCCTTTTTATAAACCCAAAGTAGAAATTGCTGCTGTCTTAACCCAAGTTTGGCCTTAAGTCAGCAGGTTTTCAAGTGTACAGTTTGTAAGACACATTGTGTAGTTTTATTACTGTTGATACCCTGGGGTATTTGGCAGTTGTCTTAAATATTGAAACCTGTTTCAGATTGGCCTTAATTGTGTCTCATAGGATCAAAATGTTAAACTCACTTACTCTTTGAAGATGATTAGGGAACGCAAAAATAAGAGAATTTTGTTTATATTACATGGAATTTCTCTGCTGTTGCCTATATTTTATAGAAGGGGAGGTTTTCCTGGATTTTTAAAGTTACTCATAAATGTTAAAAATTTTATTCACTGAATTGCTTCTGTTCTTCAGCCAGTTTTGTGATACTGATAGACACTAATTTCTGCAACTACATAAAGTTACCTTGTTGACAACATCCAATAAACATAAAAACAGCTTTTTCTGTGTCTATGCTTCAGTATTTTTTGTCTAGCCATACTTCCATCAGGTCAAGTAATTATAAGCTAAATAAAATTCTCAAAGGAGCTAAATAAGAAAATACGAAAATACGAAAAACACTTTTTTCCCCAAAAATTACATACCTTCAGTAAATTGGAAAATAGTACAGCAGGCACCCATATTTATATTTTCTACTCAAATTAAACACTTTTTTTTTTAAAGATTTTATTTATTTGAGAGAGAGAGAGAATGAGAGAGAGCACGAGAGGGAAGAGGGTCAGAGGGAGAAGCAGACTCCCTGCTGAGCAGGGAGCCCGATGTGGGACTCGATCCCGGGACTCCAGGATCATGACCTGAGCCAAAGGCAGTTGCTTAACCAACTGAGCCACCCAGGCGCCCCTCAAATTCAACACTTTTTAAAAGCTTACCATATGTACTTTGTGTCTGTGCATGTGTACGTATTGTGCCTTGAACCTTTACAGAGTAAGTTGCATACTTTTAAATTATTTCAGTAATATTATCAACATACAGACCATATTTAAATTTCCTTGGTTGTCAGAAAAGTGTTTTTGTAGCTGTGTGTGTGAGTTTTGTTAAGATAATTTTAATCCAGAGCCAGTTTTGTGCATCGTATTTAGGTTGTTAGGTCTCTTTAGTCATTCAGGAGTTAACACTGCCTAGAAAAATAGCTGCTCATGAAAGCTGTTGAGTTTTGTGTTTCATTGATCTTGTCGCTTTGAACCTCTCCAGTAATTGTTCTTTATGTCCTTTGTTCAGGTTACTTTTAATGTAATTTTGTTGGTGATTTGAATACATTGTATTGAAACTTTTAACATCTTATTAAAGAGTATCTTGAAGATTAGTCTTTGTACACACAATTTATAGGTTATAATAAGGAAACAAAAATCTTGACCAGATCTTAATAAAGCCTTTAAAAGCTTTCAGGTGTTTTTTGTTTGTCAAAAATGTTCTTTTTCTCCATCAAGGATTTTTCATTTTATTTAAAATCTGTAGTGTAACATCCAAATGAATAAGACAAAAAATCATGGTCTCCCCCATCCCTGTGCCCAACGTCAGTACCAGGGTACCATAGATTGCTTACTTGAAGTACTTTCCAAACTCATTTTAGAACATACTTATAAATTTTGTATTGAATCAAGATATCTAAATCTTCTCCTTTCCTAGTTAAAACTATGTCACGGTTTCGATTTTGCTTTTTCTTAATAGTGATACTCTAGAACTAAAAGTTATTAATATTAATAAGGCAAAAAGAAACAGCATTCTGATTTTTTTTAATTACAAGAGTAGTTTTCTAATGAATATCTAAAATAGGACACTAATGAATATATAAAATAAAACAGGAGCAATTCTGACCCTCTGTGCTTGTCTTTATAACCTGTACTTACAGTGGATATAATTTTGTATTAAAATTTAGGGGGTTTTTTTTAGGTCAACAAGGGCAGACACAAGATTATTCAAAAGCTTGGGAGGAATATTACAAGAAGCAAGGTATTGTTTTTATTAGAAATGAGATTCTTTTGGGCTTTTAATTGTGGTTACAGCAACAAAGTTGTTCTGTTTTCTCAAAGGTCAAGCAGTTCCTGCTCCTACTGGTGCTCCACCAGGTGGTCAGCCAGATTATAGTGCAGCCTGGGCTGAGTACTATAGACAACAAGCAGCGTACTATGCCCAGACAAGTCCCCAGGGAATGCCACAGCATCCTCCAGCACCTCAGGTATACTAAACTTGCTAAAGTGTTGATTTCTATTCCAATCATGTTTTCTGCATGTTTACTGTTTTGTCTGGGATTATGTTTGCCTTTTTAATTTTTATCTGGCATAGCATAACTAAATGAAGTACCTTGGTGTATTGTTTGGGTTTTTTTGTTTGTTTTTTTATAAATGCTTTCTGGCATCTGAGTGCTGAATATTTCTACAATGCCTTTGATTTTAAAAATAAATTTTTTTCCCCCAGGGATTTGCAAATCATGCAAGAAGCCACCACCATTTATATTAACCAGTTTTTCTTTCTTAAAGGATTCACTCCTGAATTAGCTCCATTTAAAGGATTTTCTTTAACTTTTTGTGTATTTCTTATGTATCTCTTCTGCACAGGGCCAATAATAAGAAGTGGACAATACAGTATTTGCTTCATTGTGTGGGGGAAAAAAACCTTTGTTAAATATATGGATGCAGACGACTTGATGAAGATCTTAATTTGTTTTTGGTTTAAAATAGTGTTTTTTTTTTTTTTTGAAAATGTACAAAATATCTATCACTACTGATAGGAGGTTAATATTTCTGTGTAGAAATGAAAATTGGTTTGTTTTTAGTATTTAGTGTAGATGTACACATTCCAGCAAATGTATTTGCAACTATTATGTGGTCAATGCTTTGTGATATAAATGTACTTTTTCAATGTATACTTTCACTTTTAAAATGCCTGTTTTGTGCTTTACAATAAATGATATGAAACCTCCTGTGTCGGTAAGTTGGATATGTGGGTATTTAAAGGATTCATAATTTCTTAGCAATGATAAATTAAGATACATATACACAAATATATAAGCTTTCCCCATGAAATATTAATTGAGTTTTTAAACACTGGCATGTTTTTTCCCCCTTGCAGTATAGTAGTAGATTGGAGGATCTTTTCCATTTATTGTATTTGGCTGTTTCAGCACAAGTAATCCTGATATCTTCATTTTTTTTTCCTTCTGTTTGATTAAAACCTGCATGTGTGTACAATGATCTTTTGGCATACTTCCATTGCATTAACAGTGAAATTTCCTTTTATACATGACCACTGTTTCAGATCTGTACTGCTGCTATAACAGTTAACCTTTCTGTTCTTAATTTAATAATTACTTGATTTCCAAGACTGTTTCAGCATAACTAATTTTAAACAGTTTTCGGATAGTGAATATGAGTAGTTGATTAAGAAGTTTTTCATGTAAAGAAACTTTCAATGTATACAATATTAGTGTGTTTCTTTTTAAATTTAGGGTAGAAAAGTGAATAGTATGCAAAAAGTATAGCTACAGTGCATCTACCATTGAAACATTATTGGGGTATGGAAATGTTCAAGCTTTTTTCTTTCTTTTTTTTTTTCTTTTTGCAGTATAGATAAGCTTTGTTCTGTAAATGCACAAGTCCAATCATTGAATCAACTTAAATTTTTTATGTACTTGAAATCACTTTATTACTCTATAACACTCATGCTGAAGTTCTGATATTTTGTTGAAATCCATTGTTTACTCTTTGCATATTTGTTGGCTCTTTGCATATTAATATATTAGACTACATGCAAATACAGTCTGTCTTGCCATTGTCTGTTGAAGTGCAGGTTTGATCCAGCCAGTATAGAACTAGCTCTGTAGGGGTGAGGAGGACTGTGCTGTGTATCATCCTTGATTGTGTTCCTTCAAGGAGCATTGCACTGTAAGTACATCAGAATGACAAATTGATGAACTGCAACAGTATCTTTTTGTCAATGTTCCACATAATGTAAATGCCATACTTTGTGTGAATATTATGTTGGAATACAGTGCTGATATCTTGGAAAACCATAACTGCTTCTTAATTTAACATAGAATAATACATAGGTCTGTATTTTTTTTTTAAGTGAGCTTAATGGGTAAGTATTTTTGATATGCTTTAGCTATAGCTAAAGAAAACTGATCATTAAAATTGAATAGTATTACTCATTGGTGCTCCTAAAATATATTGTTTTTCAGTGTACAGTATGCATATCTTCTATATTAATATGAAAGACTTGAAATGTATCAGACAGAAGTGGTTTTCAGTTTGCAAATATTAAGCAATGTAGCAGTTTAACACCATTTCATAAATATATATTAGTTCTTTCATTGGTGGGGAGCACCAGTTGTTCTGAATATAAAGGGAGATGTACAAGGACATAAATGTTGAGATTACTTACAGGGTAGAAAATAGCAGTTCAGTTCATTATAGATATTTTGAAATGTTTCTGATTGTTTTATAGAACCTGGAGTGACTTCCCTTGCCCTTATTTAGATATGGATATATAGTTCTAGTTTTCAAGTTTAATAAGGAGTTAGTTATGTGTTATCTTTAAGAGTAGGGTTATTGACATGAACAATTTCAGTATTTTGCATGATACTGTTTTATAGATGACCTTTTAGGAAAGTGGTGCATTTATTAATTAAACTGAAGAAATAGTTCAGTTGGATTCAGTATCATAACTCACAAATTGGAGGCTGTTGATTTTGATTCATTTAAGGTTTAAAATCTTTATTAATTGCAAACAGTGCAATTATTTATACTTCACAGTGCCTTCCCAGACCTTCCACCTTAGGTTCTGCTGCAAAAAGCAACAGGTAAGCACAACCTAAGGACATATATAAATAAATATTTCAGTACATTAATGTTGTCCCTGTGAGGTTTTTGTGGTTGTGTAATTCAAAAGCAATCTGCTACTGCTTCCCCAAAATGTATTTTGTTATTTATGCTACCATTTCAGTGGAAAGTCTGTAAGTTGTTCAAACAACTGTTTACATTTCTGGGTAATGGTTTTTTTTTTTTTGTTTTTTTGTTTTTTTGTTTTTTTATGAAAACAAAAAAATGATGAGTAGATTGCTGCTATAATTGAACTACATCCAAACTTTTTGTAATCTTTTCCCAACTATAGAGGGATTGTTAAAATTAAGAAAGGGCAATTACAGTTTTCTAGATTTAGGAAATCACTTGGTTAGAAACTTCAACAGCCTTCACAATCTCTTTATGATTGACAGGACATTTTCTTTGCCCTCCAAAGCTATGGAGTCTTTATTTTTTTCTCATTCTTGAAGTATAATAATTCAGTAAGGACATTATGGGTCAGAGTTTTATTATGACTTTTTTTTTTTAGACAATTCAGTTTTCATAATCTTTATATACACTGAAAAAGGAAAAAATTATAAGGAATACTTGGCAGTATGTTTTTGATAAGGCATGTGCATCAGTGAAATGTTAACTGTATAGCAAATAACCTTTCATAATCTGTATAGCAACCAGTATTTTTCTGATTTATAATACTTAAATAACTGACGCTGCATTTATTTTTTTTGCCAGTTTAAAATGTTTGTGTTCTTATAGATGATTTTAACTGGTACATATTTTGAGTTAAGATGAATGTATTAAAGCAGCATCATATCAGTTTTGTTTATTCAATTTCTAAAATGTGCTGATCCTTTTAAAAACTCCTGCTTATCTCTACAACAAAGAAAAATATTCAAAAATACTGCCTTCATTTTCACACACAGTGCTGAAGATGCTGCAAGCACCAAATCATAGCTCATAAAATCAGGTCCTGAGATAGTTACCCATAAAGAGGAATCCTTTGAGTGTATGCCATTGGTGAGCCGATGAGCATGGACCATAGAAGGGCTCAATGTAGAAGGTAAAATTGGCAAATCATAATTGAGAAATATGAAATGTATTCCCATACATAATATGGTATAGGGTGTAATGTACCTGCTTTTGATCACTTTTCATTTTAAAGTGCTATTCGCTTGATCTTAAATGTTCCATGAACTGTTAAATTTTGTAAGTTATATAGTTACTGCACCACATTTATGTGTGTGTATGTATTATTTTAATAGTCAATGATAGGTATGTTAAGACTGATAATACAAAGGAGCTCTTTGAACCTTAAGAGCCTGTCAAGTTTTGGTTAGTTGTAGTTTGCATTTTTATAAAATATAGATGAATGCTAATAGATAATTGGGGCATTGTTTCTATATCAAGAGTTTTTTTTTATTCATTACCATAAGCCTTCACTGATACTGCATTTTTTTAAATGGCGCTAATCTTAACCTTGAAATAAATGGAAAGCGGAAAAGGTGAGCCAGTTGACTTGAATGCAATGGATGTTAGGAGTGGTAGAAACAATGTTTAGATTGAAATTGAACTGATTTATTTTATTTAGCACTTAAAAACTTGACAATGTGTTTCATTTTTTAAAGATATTTTAGTGTGGTGTTATGTAGAATTCTTATGGTTTGATGTTTCTTTTAGAAATGAAAAGTATACTTTTATTTTTAACTAATGAAAATGGTTTTAATACTAAAACTAGTGATTTGATACTAGTTGTTTATAAACATAAAATATTTCCTTAGACAAATACCTTGGTAGTTAATTCATAAGGGTGGGTTTGGGTAGGAGTAGCAGAGTACCTTAAGAGGGAAATAGGAATATATGCAGAAGTGATAACATTTGTTTGAATACTCTGCCAGGAGAACCAGCTCTATCTGCAAACATCTGTTGTCTAGAATAAGGATGTAGAAATGATCAATGAGGATGTCTTTTTATTTTCTGAAAATTCTGCCTCATTTTAAAATGTATTTTAACAATACTAAAGATAATTTTGACTCTGAAAATAACATTTTTTGTTTAGTCACTTGAGTTTTCTTGCCACAGTATAAATTTGAGGGATTTTTTTAAATTGGTGCTTTTAAGAAGCAAATCCGAAGGTTTTATTTTCTTCAATGATAGCCCTATAGAAACTCTTAAATGTATTTGCGCATATATATATATATTTTTTCTTATGCATGCTCGATGCATTTTCGTCCTGAGAAAAGTGTTCTCTACAGAAACTACCCGTGTGTAAAAAGAAGATTGGCTTAAAATGGCTACTGTGATGGGAACAGTGTCTTAGGGAGATGCAGCTTGGACTTGAGGTAAATTGAATACTTTACAAACTGTGGTTTAGAGTTTGCTTTAATGACATTGTATGTAAAAGGGCACATGATTGCTGTAATTTTGTATTGATTATGGTTTCCTCAATAAAAAAAATAAATGTACATTGATCAATATTATAAAGGAGTGTTTTTCTTTTCTAAAATATTGACTTTATTTTTTAATACAGAAGTTACTTTATTGAGTTTACATTGTAAAATTGTCTTCCAGAAAACTAAAATATAAAACAACTTGGTACTAGAACATGGTAGTTAATTATTTACAAACTTGAAGACCAGATTTTAAAATTGAAGATTGTGCCATTTTTTTTCTTAGATCTTAAAATCGTTCATTATGTTAAAAGTGTTTTCTCCTGCATAAACTACTGATACAAAGTTTTCTCACTAAAAGATAATTTGTTCAGGCAAGGTCACAACATAAATTTGCTTTCTAAGCTTGAATATGTATTACACACATTTGAAAAGTACATGTTAATATTCTCAACATTCAGAACTCTGTAGGCCGTGGTTTCCATTAAATTTTCTCTGGCAATTGTTTTTAAAGTCCTCCTTTTGTTCTCCATGCTCCCCCTTTCCCTTGAAAGGAATTGGCACCCCTTTCCCCTCTCTGCTTCAGAAAGACTTTGAAGCTACAAGGAAAATGATGTATTAAGGAAAACTCAAATTGATAGGTTCCAAATTCATTAAGTCTTTACTATCTTGGACTAATTTTAGGTGAAAATAGCTCATAAATGACATTCTTTCATGCAAAATAATGTATTTTAATAATTGAGTAAATTTTCCACTTTACCCCATTAGATACACCTTAACTTCTGCATAATATGGCGATGAATCTGGTGATCATTTGGAAAGGAAGAAGTTATTCCTTAGATGAGCTTGTGTTTTGAAGACTGTTATGAAAAGGAATAAAAAGTCAACATAGTGGCACTTCTGGTTTCCGTTTTGGCCCCGCCACAGAAAACATGGGTGTAGTAAGAAAGTCGGGGGTGGGGGGGGGAGAAAGTTCCAGGGAGAGGGAAGGGGAGCTAGTAGTCGTCAGCTAAAAAAGAGAAGAAGAAAAGTGATTTTTTTTTTTAAAGGAAAAAAATTTAAATAGAATAAAAGTTCTAGATTAAGTGATTAATTCTTACTTTCAATTGTAAGAATACAGGTACTAGCTGCAGAGCCTTTGTTGTTGACTGCTTTACACATATACTCTCCTTCATCTTCTGGGAAAGTTTCTGGTAAATAAAGACAGTAAGTTTCTCCTCTTTCAATATATTGGTAGTCTTCTCCATCCTGCAGTATTTCTCCCTCAAACCACCATGTAATTTCCGGTTTGGGTTCTCCTGTTACTTTAACAGTAAATCTAACTGGCTCACTGTCTACAACCGATGTGTTTTTTAGAGGCTTCTTGAACCACGGAGCTCCTGATCTCGTTTGCTCCTCATCTTCAACAGTAGAGCCATTCATGATGCTACCACCCTCTTCTTCCTCCTCCTCTTCTCTTTTCTATATTAAATATAAGCACATTCAAGTTGGCGTTTAAAGTAGCATTTTCAGGACAACGGTTTAGCAATAAAATTTCATGAGTGAATGGGTTTTTGCTTCCCAAAGAACATGTAAATATGCCTACTACAATGTGTACTTTATAAAACATTACACTGACCTGAAAGCTATTAAAAATTATTTTTAATCCCTCAATATTTTAAGAGCATATTTGAAAAATAGAGTATGTAAGCCTGCTACCTTTTGTAGTGCCGCATCAATTTCCTTTTGTTCAAACTGCATCCGTAGTAACTTTTGCTCTTCAATTCTTCTTTGTTCTTCTTCTTCTCTTGCCTTAGCCATTTGTTCAAATCTAGCTTTCATGTTCACTTTATGAGTAAATGGGGCCTCACTTTTTTTTGCAGGCCTGACATCGACATCTTCTTCCTTTATGAAAATGGGCCAAGAATAAGAATTGCTTGTTTTCTAGAAACCAACAAGAACTAAAGCATTAATAGTTATGTTGTCATTTATAGGCACAAAATAATGACTCATGTTTGGTTTACATATTTGTGCTATACTCATATGTGGAGATTTTCACTATCCCCTAATTTGTGAAAAATGAAAGTTTTATTTGAATAACAGTCTCCTGACAATTAGAACCCTTTCCTTCCCGTGTAAAGGTTATACAGTATCACTGGAGTTCCAGTGTATTTATCTGCTTAACCAACACTGTGCTGGCTGATAGTACTAAATAACAGGAAAGGATGGGGATGTTACACATTTTAAAACTATTAAAATACTCCCTTGTCACAAGATTGTCCATCACTCTACACCCTCCTGTGTAATATAGAAAAAATGCAATTTCTGTTACTTCCCACTTCATGATTTCCTTCCTAACCCTTCTTCGCTAATAACTGTCTTTGAGATGAATTTCATCCAACAAAACATTGATGGCCAAATGGCAGACAAGTGTTTGCGGGTAGAATAAGTGGAAAGACAACTGCAAGAGGCAGTGGCTGGAAGTTGGGGAAATCACTGAGTTGAAGTAGGTGGTTAGTCATCTATTTAGGGTAAGAGCTGGAAACCATGGAAATAAGCGATAATCTAAGTGCAGAGTTTAAACTATTAAAACAACGTTGAGTCTGTAAAACAGTGATAATGAGGTCACTGGTGGCTTTTGAGGGAGGTTTTAGTAGAGTGGGCTTGTAGGTACAGTTAATTCAGGGTTTCTAAAGTACCTTAGCTATAATTTCTAAACTACTTAGACTTTTAATGGATCTGTCTGGAAATCTCACCATTTATATTTCACAGTACTAAGAAATTGCCTCAGGATACCACATCCAACTGAAGGAAATTCTGAAACAAGCTCTAAAATAATTGCCTATATAAGAAAAATAGGTGCATGGATGTTTGCCATCAGTTTCTTCATTCTGTCTTCTAACAGTCTCTGAAGGCCTGCCCAACTTCCCATACCTGCTCTATTAGTTGATTATTTGATGAAAATTCATTGCTAGAAGAACAAGTTAAATGCTGTTAAGTATTATAAAATGGCAATTCTGGCAGAAAAAATTCTCCAGATCATATTTAAAGCAATATTCATAACCATGGAACTAGACCTTAGGTTGGAAGGAACATTATGGGTCATCTAGTAATTGCCTTTTTAATATTTGGAGGTACTTCAAATTCATGTCCTCTGAATTCTAATTTAGGCTCTGTCACTGAATTATTGGCATGACTTTGAGCAGATCATTAAGCTTTACTGGCGTCATCCTTAAAGTAAGTACGAATAATCTCGAGTTTATTTTAACCCATATGTAGACTGGTTCTAATTATTCAAACTAAAATTTGTGCCATAAATATATTTTTTAAAGATTTATTGTCAACACAAGCAGGGGGAACAGCAGGGAGAGGGAGAGAGAGAGAGAGAAACAGGCTCCCCCTTGAGCAGGAAGCCTGATGTGGGACTCAATCCCAGGACCCTGGGATCATAACCTGAGCTTAAGGCAGATGCTTAACCAACTGAGCCACCCAGGTGTCCTGTGCCATAAATATTTTTAAAGTATTTTTTCCAGAGTGATGTTCACTATAGGCTATTTAATTCTAATAAAAGCCATTTTTGAAACAATGCTAGACTGAGGCAACCTTTCAAAGTCTCTTAAGATCTTAATGTGCTTTTGCTATTTAGTTCCTAGATTATTATATATACCGATGGTTAATCGTAAGTACCAAAACTTATTTCAAAGTCAATGTTACATTTCTAAATTCATCATAATTACTATACCGTAACTGTTAAATACAGTGTACCTCATGAAAGTTTTCTGCTTCTCGCTCTTTAATTTCGAGGTCAGTTGCTCTCCTTCTTGCTCGTTCTTCTTCTATTTTTTTCTGTATTTCTTTTTCAGACAATTGTCCAATCTTTTCAAACTTGCTTTTTAGATTTTTGGCTTGAATAGAGCCACTTCTTTTCAATTTGATTAATTCTTCATATTCCCTACTCAATTCAAAGGTTTCATGTTCTTCCTCTTCCTTAAAAAATATATTTTTATATATTAAATACCAGAAAATCAGTTTGTACAATAAACCATCCAAAAGGTGTTCATTTCTTACTTGAAGCCAAAAATAAAGCTTAACCTGTTCCCTAAATACAACGCCTAAATTTACTGATTAAAAGTAATGCTACAGGGCGCCTGGGTGGCTCAGTTGGTTAAGCAACTGCCTTCGGCTCAGGTCATGATCCTGGAGTCCTGGGATCGAGTCCCGCATCGGGCTCCCTGCTCAGCAGGGAGTCTGCTTCTCCCTCTGACCCTCTTCCTTCTCGTGCTTTCTATCTCTCATTCTCTCTCTCTCTCAAATATCTCTCCCAAATAAATAAATAAAATCTTTAAAAAAAATAAAAGTAATGCTACAAATTTAAGACTTTAGATAACATCTTATTTAAAATATTTCATTACGGGATATGGCTCAAAACTTCATTTAATATTTCGTTATAACGTCCTAAAACTAAAATATGCATATCAAGATTATGGGGCACCTGGGTGGCTCAGTCGTTAAGTGTCTGCCTTCGGCTCGGGTCATGATCCCAGGGTCCTGGGACTGAGCCCCGCATCAGGCTCCCTGCTCAGCAGAAGCCTGCTTCTCCCTCTCCCGCTCCCCCTCCCCCTGCTTGTGTTCCCTCTCGCTGTGTCTCTGTCAAATAAAATCTTTATACCAGGAACCACAGGAAAATCCATGTTTAGGGGAAGATGAAGAAATGTAAGAACAGGGGGCTGGGAGTCCGATATAAATTCTAGTTCTGACTTTGATACCATGTGGCCTTTTGCCTTGTCACTTAGCCCCCTGGACATGATTTTTTTTTTTTTTAAAGATTTTATTTATTTATTTGAGAGAGATAGAATGAGAGTTAGAGAGCACAAGAGGGAAGAGGGTCAGAGGGAGAAGCAGACTCCCTGCCAAGCAGGGAGCCCGATGTGGGACTCGATCCCGGGACTCCAGGATCATGACCTGAGTCGAAGGCAGTTGCTTAACCAACTGAGCCACCCAGGCGCCCTGGACATGATTTTTTAGTCTCTATATAGAGCCAGAGTATCCTAAAGTTCCTCCTTTGTTTTGATGATAGTCTAATAAATACCACTTTTTGCCCCCCAAGATTTTATTTATTTGACAGAGACACAGCAAGAGAGGGAACACAAGCAGGGGGAGTGGGAGAGGGAGAAGCAGGCTTCCCGCGGAGCAGGGAGCCATATGCGGGGCTCGATCCCAGGACCCTGAGATCATGACCTGAGCCGAAGGCAGATGCCCAACAACTGAGCCACCCAGGCGCCCCTAATAAATATCACTTTTAATACTCAAGTTAACTGAATGAACTCTTTATACAGTACAGCCTGGCAAAATCCCTACATTTGATAACATATCACTTCCAGTCTCAATTTTATATTCTGCCAAGAAAAAGGAGTCTACCAAAATTGGGCTCCAATTCTTTAAACCATTTTTTATCTTAAATACTTTTTATTCTGGTTTCCCTTGGCTTTTCACAGTTTATTACTAGTTCTTTGTATACTTCTTACACTAAACCCTAATCTCACTATATGAAATGTTAAAAAAAAAAATGCAGTTATTCCCGGTATACTTTTCCTGGAGAAGACAGAATTCTAGGGGTGGGGAGGGGTTAGTAGAGAAGGGGAATGAAGGTGTGGAGGGGTGGGGTCACAGTGGATGATTCGAAATGAGGGTTAATTTTTTGGTTCAACCAAAGGGGAAAAAGAACTTACAGTACCTTCACTTTTTAGTCTATGTGGGTGAAAAGAGACAACTCCTAAAATACCAGAAACCTAACAAATTTGTTATGTACCTCCCATCGTTGGTTCCCAAAACATTCTGGTCAAAATTAATGATTCAACTAATAAAATTTACAAGTTTTTCTAGGCAATTCATTTTCGTCATCCTTTATAAAATAAAATTTTCTTTTAAAAGATTTTATTTATTAGAGACACAGCGAAAGAAGGAACACAAGCAGGGGAAGTGGGAGAGGGAGAAGCAGGCTTCCCACCTAGGAGGGAGTCCAATGTGGGGCTCGATCCCTCATGACCCGAGCCGAAGGCAGACGCTTAACGACTGAGCCACCCAGGCGCCCCGCTATTACATTTTTAAAATAAGGCTAGACCTTGGAATATTTTCCTACAGCATATTCATGATATTATTACTTATATATTTATATAGTATTTATAGTCTCTTGATTGGGGCAAGGAAGTAAATATCCCCACAGGTCCATTGCCCCAACCCATGACAAAAGAGGCAACTTCTAAGAGATTGCAACCTCTGCATAGGATCCCATTTGGTGCCTAGATCAGGAGTTGGCAAAAGGTCCCCACCAAGCTGCCTGCCAAACACGCCACATCACTGCCAGTTAGAGCCTGGGACAACCACTGCTTGTTTCACCCCAAGTCACCGGGCTGTGTGCTGATCCCTGACCCTGATCATGTTGCTGCCAAGAGCTACCCCCCATCAGAGGCCGAGGGTGACAGTGGAATGCTGCCCCCCTTTTCTATCTCCCCTCTTCTGCCTACACAACTGGCCATCCAGATGGAGGGATGCAGCTGTGGGAAGGAACCGTTTAGAAAGGGCCTTGGGGCATCAGGAGATAGGAAAAAAAATGCACCATAGAGAGGCAGGGGACAGCAGAAGATTTGAGCCACGGCTCAAAAGTCTAGCACATGCTCCATTGTCCAATCAGCTTTCACTTAAACACACAAATTCAAAGATAAGATTACGGTGTTAATTAAATTTTAAGTTTTAAATTTTACTTTATTTTTTTAAAAGATTTTATTTATTTGACAGAGAGAGAATGAGAGATAGCATGAGAGGGAAGAGGGTCAGAGGGAGAAGCAGACTCCCTGCCGAGTAAGGAGCCCGATGTGGGACCCAATCCCGGGACTCCAGGTTCATGACCTGAGCCGAAGGCAGTCGCTCAACCAACTGAGCCAATTTTTAAATTAAAAATCAAGATGACAACCTTAGAACATTAAACCTTACGCACAGCCTGTCTAAGCACAGGGTCCTGTGAGGGCCGAGGCTGCCCTGTACAGTCTATATTTATATAGATAAATGTATTTATTTCACTTCAATACTAGAGAAATCATACTGAAATACTTACCATGAGAGTTCTAATTGAGTAAAATAAAATGATTCAAAGACTTGCCAAACTGATGTTCCTACTGGTATCCATGGTACTCTTGTAATTTTATTTTGACTAATCAGTTTGTTTATTTCAAGGAACATAAATATAAAAAATGGGCATAGTAAGCACTTTAGGAAACAATTCTCCATCATAATGTAACCACATAATTGTGAGGTATATAGGAAGAAATATTTACTTAAGGTACTATAGTAGTATGTTAGTCACTTGCAATCATATATGTTTTAACCTAGTAAGAAAGAAGCAGAGTTATAGCAGGCTAGAAAGTGCTCATAACTATGCCAAAACTTGTACCAAGTGCCTCATAGTATGCTGTGTCCTTTATGTGAATAATAATACTTAAAAAGTTATTGTAAGATACTACATGTAAAATACTTACATTAATAAATATTTGAAGAATATAAATGGTATTTCTTAAAATCTCACCTCTCCCATTTCTTGTCTCAGTTGTTCAAATTCCTGTTTTTCCATCTCTAGCTTATGCTTCCTTTCCTCCTCTGTTCGTCGTTTTTCTTCTTCCATTTTTTGTTTTAGTAATTCTTCAAAATTAATTTCCAGTTTTCCCGGTGTAAGAGATTCTTGAGAAATTGTTTTATACATCTCTGGGAAGTCATCATCTACTACCTATTTAAAATAATTCTTTTATTACTTTTGCCAAAATTACACAAACTAAAAAGGAAATTTTTTTTGTAGAAACTGATTACTTGAATAGAAGGGTTTCACACTGAACTAAAAATTTGGAGACCTAAATCTCTTCAAAAGTATAAAACAATAAACAAGGGAGAAATTACTAGAAAATATAAGACTAAGGTATTTTGTGGTTACAGAGGAAATGGTGACCATCTGTTTTCTGCTCCAGTGAACACAAATCCTTTGAATTTGTATTATGAGTAATTTGAATTAGATATTAAGATTTTCTGATACGGAGAACACTTTGAATTGAATTAAAATGAATTTCCATTCTGCTAATTAAAATAGAGCATTTCCATTAAATCATGGTTTGAATGAATGAATTAGATAACCCATGATTCTTTCATAATCAGGTAAAAATCATTCTTAATGCTGTAATTTTTTTGTACTAATTTATTTACTGTCCAGTTAATTAAATAATAGTTAATACTTAGAGCTGCCATGTAAATTCTAAGCACTTTACATTGATTTATTTAATCCTGTAATCTTATGAAATAGATATTATTAATATCCTCCATTATAGATGAGAAACTCAGGCACTAACTTTTCCAGAGTCAACACAAATACTAAGTGGCAAAGGTGGGATTCAAACCTTCAAAAACCTAATAAAATTATAAATAATGATTTAGACTATCTTTTTGTAATTTCATGAATTACATATCTAACTGCCATTAGGTTGTGACCTTGGGCAAGTTACCCAGCCTCTGTGAGTTTCCCTATCTGTAACGACTTTTCATATAGTTGTCATGACAAAGTTTGGAAATGTTTACAGTGTGTCTGATACCCAATAGTAAGCTCCCAATGGCAGTTTTTTTTTTTTTTAAGATTTTATTTATTTGTCAGAGAGCATGAGCAGGGAGGGAGGGAGACAGAGGCAGAGGGAGAAACAGGCTCTCCGCTGAACAGGGAGCCCCATGTGGGACTTGATCCCAGTACCCTGGGATCATGACCCGAGCTGAGCCGAAGGCAGTAGCTTAACCAACAAACTGGGCCACCCAGGAGTCCCCCAATGGCAGTTTTATTATATTATCATTCCCTATAATAAAGGCAATCCCTAAATTGCAAATAGAAACTTTGCTTTTAAATCACTGACTTGGAATACATTTTACCATGAAAAGCAATTACCTAATTCTGTTTTTCTATCCCCTGAGAGTAGAAAATAAACATCTGGCCTGAATTAAGACCCTGTGGCTAAAGAAGACATAGGGTAATAAGAAGGCAAAGGGTAATTATTTGTTTTATATATGACAGGCTTTACCAAAGAATAAACTCAACTCAGAAACAATGTTTACGTGGTCTTACAATCCAAAGATTGCCAAAAATTTTTATTAATATATAAGCTAACTGAGCTGTAATACAAAGTTAAAATATGGCCCTGGATAAAAAAAACAACATAAATGAAGGAAAAAGTTTCTCTTTCCTGATACAGAAATATCTCTAGGAAACTAGAGTTTTGGATTAATGCAGTTTTCCTTCCCTACACTTTTTCTACTAGTGAATCATGGCAGTTTCAGCCTAAAAATCTGTCCCTAGGATTAGATCTCCTGATCTTCACAGCTACTTCTTGTCTATCACTTCTGAACCTGCTTATTCTCCAAAAATTAAGTGCCTTCACAATGTTTATTTATGGGCTTTCTGTGCAGAAATCATTTGTGAAACAAGGATTACCTAGTTTTACACACAAGATCGTTTTAAGGGGCACCTGGCTGGCTCAGTCAGTAGAGATGCAACTCTTGATCGTGGGGTTGTCAGTTCAAGCCCTATGTCAGGGGTAGCGTTTACTGAGCAAGTAAATAAGAATTATTCTTTAGAAAGATAGTTTTAATATACTCCACAAACATTTATAGGAAATTTGTTATGCTAGAATGCTTTCTGCCATGTGCCTGATGAACAGTCTCAGCCTCATGAGTGAGAACGATAGCTGTAAGCAACAACAATACATTAGTGCTACACCAGGGGAGTACAAAATCCACAAGAATGCACAGAAAGAACACGTCTTTGGAACTTGTGTCCTCAGGAAAGGATTCTCAGAGGAAATGGAAAATATGAATAGGAGACAGCAGAGCATGGGGAAAGGAAAGAGGGGCATGTTTCATTCAGCATTTATGAAGGTCCAGAGATGGATGAGAGCACAGTATTTTGAAGAAATTGGGAGAAATTTAGTATGTCCAGAACAAAGATGGCAGATTAAGAATAAAGAAATGAAACTGGAAAAATATACTAGGACAATATTATAAGGAAATTTCTTTAAAAAATTTTTAGATTTAAAAAATTTTTAGATTTTTGGTTAAGGGAAGTGGAAAATTCTTAAGCAAAATAGTAACACAAATTTACCTGAAAGAGAGAGCGAGAAAGATCACTCTTGTCTTTACAAAGAAGAATGGATTATAGACAAGAAAGCAAATTAAATAGGAGTTGGTTTGAGGCTAGAGATAACTGTGACCTGGGAGGAGATAGGTGACCCAAGGAAGGGTAACAATGGCAGTGGAAATGAGGGAAAACCTGATCGATTTTTAGAGTGATTTAGAAGGTAGAATGAATGAGACTTAGTGAATGACTGGATGTGAGGCATGAATGAGAAGGTGGAAGTCTTTAAGACTCCCAACTTTTTGGTTTGACCATCTGGATGGGTAATGAAGCCAAATAAACACATGGATATATGTGCCTGAAGCTCCCCCAGACATAGGAAGAAAACTAGGTCATGATATCACTGAAGCCAATTAAAATGTTTCAAGAAGAGGGGGAGCACCTGGCTGGCTCAATCGGTAGAGCCTGCAACTCTCGATCGTCAGGTTGTAGTTCAAGCCCCATGTTGGGCGTAGAACGTACTTTTTATGTTTCAAGAAGGAGATGCAGCATTTATAGGTCAACTTGCTTGAAAATAGTTTGTGAGATAACTGTACATTTTACAAACATTAAAAAGTGGTATAGGGGGTGTAACTTTGTGATGGAATTAATTTTGGTAACAATATCCAGAAGTGATGGGTGAGCATTTTGGAGAATTAAATAATTGTGATTAAATGGCTTTGGTCATTTAATATGTACTGGATGGGATGGAAAGTGAAATGAAAGGAGGAAAGAAAGGAAGGAGGGAGGGAAGAAGTGAAGGAGGAAATGTGGGAAGGGAAAGAAGAATGGAGAGAATGGAAGAAAAGGTAGAGTAGGAAAATCTCTGCTTAGATACTTCCGGAAAACATGCCTTCCCAGAGAAGGAAGATAATATTCAATCCTTTAAGCCAGGCATAGCAACTTAATCAGAACCTTCTCAACATTACACTGAAGCAAACACCTTTAACTGATAGGTGTTAATGCCATAGGAGACTTTAAAGCTTATTTGCTATCCCTACTTTCGACAGATTCCAGAAATAATAATATCTAAAGTTTAATTATTTTTCTTACATACTCTATTTTTTTAATTAAAAAAAATTAAGGTTTATTTGAGAGACAGTGAGTGTGTATCTGAGTACAGGGGGAAGGAGCAAAGGGAGAGAGTCTCAAACACTGTGCTGAGCGTGGAGCCTGACAGGCTCAATGTCAAGACCCTGAGATCACAACCTGAGCCAAACCAAGAGTTGAATGCTTAATTGACTGCACCACCCAGGCACCCCAAATTTAAAAAATTTTTAAAGTAATCGCTATACCCAACATAGGGCTCAAACTCACAACCCCAAGACTTGCATACAATACTGACTGAACCAGTCAGGCACCCCCTCTTAACATACTCTTAAAAAAGTTGAATCCTAATGGCATTCTCCAGTTATATTCTATCTTACCATGCTTCTCCTTGCTTCAGCAAATGCCTTCTTTTCTTCCTCTATTCTCCTCCTGGCTTCTTCTTCTGCCTTCCTTTTTTCATCTTCTCTCCTTTGTCTTTCTATTTCTTCAAAACTGAGTTTGAGTTTACCAGGGCGGTACCCTTTTAAAATTTTTTCTGTGTCTTGGTTTTCCTCCTCTTCATTTACCTAACCAAGAAACAACTCATTACTAAGAACTGAGATTCATCAAGGGTAGGAATGAATTATCAATCAAAAGGCACAGAATTGGCCACCTCACACACAAATATTTTCTTGCCCTTAATATATTTGACCAAATTTCCCTTCCTTTATAATTTCTTATCTGATAAAGTATTCAAATTTGGAGAAATTCCAAATAAAGATGTACTCAAGTTAAATAACAGTTCCCATGAAAGTCAAATTTTTAAATAGATAAATTGAGTGTTTGAAAGAATTTAAGGGGTCATTTAAGAGTTCTAATAAATATTAACTCTTCCAGAACAAAACATAAAATGCGTGTGTGTACTTACTATGCTTCAAGTATATCTATAGAGTCTCTTTTGTAGTAAAAGTTCTCATTTTGTAATTTTCATGGATATTTTACTATGAACTATGGTACTTTTCCTTATACTAATCAGATAAAAGATTACCTGGAACTATGTTTTATAAAATTCAAATTTTATTATTTTATAATTAAAATTATAATTATTTATTGAAATTTATGATTTGATTGATATTTCTATTTTCACGAAATTGATCACCACTGGTAGCTCAAGTGTGTACATATTATGCAATTATAATTACCCAGAGGTAATAACATTTTCAAACAAATGTCTAGAGAATTTAACTTTTGTAGATACAGTCCTTAGGACATCATTAATGAAAGTTGATCAAGAAATTCTGAAACTTTTTAAAAATTATAGATATTCCATTAAAATTCAAAAAATTTATAATGAGATTTGGAATCAGTATTTTTTATTTCAATTTTATTGATATAGTTATTAATAATAGTTATCATTTTACAGCACCTATTAATATGCCAGATATTACTTTAAATGCTTTCTGTATTAACTCACATACAATTTAAGAGGTAGACACAATTATTTTCACCATTTTACAAATAAGGAAACTAAGACATAGAGGGGTTAAATAACTTGTCCCTGGTTACACACTAAATAAACAAGAGATATGTGAATCCAGGCAGTGTGGTTCCAGAAACTATGCTCTTAACCACTACACTCCATACCTCTAGACACACACACACACACACACACACACACACACACACACACCCACCCCTACATACCTTATATGACAAACTGCATATTCCATAGTAAATTTATTTTGATAAGTTCAAATATTTGAAAAACTGGACTAAAACTAAGTGTACACTTATGATTAGACTTGAAAGTGTGCATGTGCTGTACCCTGTCATTAAAAACACTGCAGGCTGAATTAACAGATAAAGAGAAACCAGGTTCATTGACTTATTTTACATATTTATAATTTATAACAAAAATAAAAATTTAAAGCATATTAGGTAAAATGTCCCATCATAAAGGGAAACTAGAAAATAATACAGATACATTTTATATAGGAAATATGTACAGTTTCAAAATCAGACCCTTTTATATAGACAATCTCCTTGAATTTATAGGAATGAATTTTATTTAAAGCCAGCTTCCTTCCCTAAAATTAAATTTTTTATATATAACATTTATATGACATATATAAAATATCATTTGTAGGTTATATATCATATATTATATATATCATTATATATAAATACATATATTATAGGGGCATCTGCTGGCTCACTTGGTAGAGCGTGCAACTCTTGGTTCGAGCCCCATGTTGAGTGTAAAGATTACTTAAAAATAAAATCTTTAAAAAAATATATATTTTTTTTAAAATATGTTTTATATATATATTTATTTTACCATTTGCCGCCTTGCTTCTTCAAAAGCACGTTTCTCTTCTTCTAAACGTTGTCTTGCTTCCTCTTCAGCTTGCCTCCTTCGGTTTTCTTGTCTTTGTCTTTCCAATTCTTCAAAAGTTAGTTTCAGTTTTCCAGGAGAAAGGGATTCTTTTTTTGCCTCACTTTCTAGTTCATCATCCTAAGAAACATTGTGCAAACACATCTGTTAATCATAAAAGGAAATGCTAGTAACTTAACTGCTTTGATTTGTACCTAAAAAAAATAAAAATAAAAATTACCATGACCAATGAAAGACTCTTTGCTTCCTTGAGAGATCGCCGTTGTTCTTCATATCTTATTCTTTTATCTTCTTCATGTTTGACCCTTTCTTTTTCTTCTCGTTCTTTCTCTAGATCCTCAAAATTCTTCATCTTTCCAGAACTTTTGTGTGATTTGACAGGTACCACTGTTACAAGTAGTGAATCGTCTCCTTCCTAATTTATAAAATAGAAAATTAGCATATTTCTTGCTAACCAAAATTTAGGTTTCATGGGATCTTGCCTCCATTATTGGTGAGTTTCATTACATTGCCATCAATTTATGAAGAACAAAAATTTATATATATTTTTTACAGATTTCTATTCAATAGTTCTTTCTCTGAACTCATTGTACATTGAGTTAATTTAACTGAAATCCATTGTTGACAAGGTTCAAGGAGCATCTTCTTTCCTAGAAGGTGGTGTTAATACAGCTGTTTGGATAAAACTGCATGACATCATCTGAATTTAGCTGTCCGTGCACTAGTTCCACAAAAGGTGATGTGCATGTGAGTGTACTCTAAATCAATTTGATGGTGGATAGATTCTGTTTAAACACACACAGAAAGTCTCTCCATAGGACTTTTTTCTCCATGCAAGTTTTTAACTACTTAATAAAACTATTATTTAGTGAGGAAAAACAAACAGTATTTCCAAGTTATTTATAAAACATTTATAGACCATACTCATCGGCATTTGGTCCTAGTAAAATATTCTTAAATTTGTTTTTCAAATTCATTTTAATTCTATTAATCTACTGTTACCTCTGAACTTTTTTCCAAAAATAAAGTAAGTTATAATATGTAACACATGTCCCTAAAATAAAACTGCTTCCAATTTGTGTGGCTGTAGTTTTAGGCACACCGTCAAATTGACTTATGCTTAACCTTCTCTGTTAGGTAAAAAGGAATTAGCTAAAATTTTTGTGGTTGTTGAACATTCCTTCATGTTACTAGATACTAGTATGTGATAATCAAAACAAACTATCAAGAACTCTGAGGAAAGAGGAAGACAAATGATGGAAAAAACCCTGCTTTTAAAAAATGTTAGCTTTCAACAATCTCAACCATTAGTAACAGTTCAAGAAATACACAGTCTTGGCAGAGTATCTCAATCTGAGATTTGTGTCTCTAACCATGAAAGCAAAAACATACTTTTTTTTTCCATACTTTTAAGACACTAAGCTAGTGTTTGAAAGTGCAAAAGTATGATCTTGCTTTGCAAAATACTTTTGTCCTTTTTGTTGTTGTTGCTATAATTATAATAAAAATAAAAATGCTTTTCATTTTTTAATTAAAAGATTATTTGTGAACCAGATAATTTTAGGTGATGTTTCATTAAAGGAAATGTCCATTTACCTCTCGTGCTGATTCAGTTCCCGTATTGTTTATGTCCTCAATCTATTGAATGAGAATTTCATATCATTACATTACACTGAATTTCTGCTTTCTGCTTTCTGCTTTTAAATATACAACTGAAAAGTAATTTAGCTGTGACTTACAGTAAATTTTCAAATTTATAATTTTTGAAATATTTTTATGTTTCTCCAAATTGGCCTATTATGTCTAAGTGGAGATTAAACCTTATATTAGTTTTTGTATTTTGACATCAAATCAATATCTAGGGAATATATTAAGAAAAAATTAAAGCCTACCTTTGTAATTCTGGAATTTGAATAATGGACCAAATTCTTATGACCTGCTGTAAGCTTACAAGTAGCAATTATTAATTAAATTAGCAATTTAAACTGAGATACAGAAACATTTCTCCATTCTCAGTCTCTGCCCCAGCCAAAGTAAAACCTATCAGTAGTAATCAAATAATCATGACTATATTTTGCAATATAAATATATGGCAAAAATATAACTGACGGTAATACAATGCAGTGCACTAACTTTCACATGGCTGGTTTAGAAGGGACAAGAATTCTGGTCGATATAATTGTTTACTCTCTATTTTGACCACATCTAGGAAAGAAAGGCCCTCATTCAGTAGAAGGGGTCTCAACTTGGACATTATTCATAAGAAACACCATTAGGGTAGCTCGAGCGGCAGGCTAACGTATGTAACAAACAGAAATGAGAAAGAAGCTAGGCAATTCAAATAATGCAATGTTTGAGATCTCAGGAAAAGGAAACATAAGCAGTGGGAAAATGGGAGAAGTTAGAAAGTAAACATTCATATTGTTTATTGTTTTAACGTGATTTTTAACATCAGTGAAAGAGTCTGGAAGTGGTTTGTTCCTTATGCAGTCTAAGGGAATTCTGTTGTACCTTGGCTCATAGGAGGAACTGGACCTGCTAAGTCCCTGTTCTTCATCATTTCACTTTCCTTTTCTATATTCTCTGTCACGGGAGAATTAATACATTTTATTAAGATACCAAATTTCTTGAAAAATAAATTCTGAATAATTTATTAAAAATAAATCTATTTTACATTTTAATAATTTTATTGTTTTGTTTAGAATGATTTCTTTTGCACAATTATATATTACACTGATTTGCTATGTAAGTGGTGAAGGTTTTATTGAATGATGTATTGTACTAAGAAAAATTTTAAGCCATAATAAAATAATTACAAAATTATTTCTTTTCAGGGGTACCTGCTGGTTCTGTTGGAAGACCATGTAACATCTGATCTCAGGGTCATGAGTCCAAGCCCCACACTGGGTGTAGAGATTACTTTAAATAAATAAATAAACTTAAAAAAAAAAAGTATTTCCCTTCCAAAGAATGCTAACAATTCCTTGACAAATCACATTTGTCTCTCAATAAAAAGTTCTAGGAGATACAGTGAGAAGCCAGACACTGACAGTATAGGAAAGATAAATTCTAAATTTCTTAACTCCAAATTTCTTTTACTTGCTACTAAAACCTTCTCAGATTTTTATTAGCTTATGATAAGATAATAAATTATATTATGGAGTGGCTTTTGTTTTGTTGTTGTATGCTTTCTTCTTTGCTCATTTTAAGCCACTGACATAATTTTATTTTCATTGGGTTTCCATAAACAAAGGAAAAGGTGAATTTGTCTGAGTGGCCATGGTGTCAGTATATTCACAGAGAACTGAGACATTCAGTTCTGTTATAGTGTTGGCTCTCAGAAGCTACCACTGAAAAGCTGCTTCCCAACTATTTCTTTTGATTATGAAAAGGAAATTCCTTTTACTCCTTCCCAGAGGAACTTCCTTTTGTCCCCTTTATTTTCAACATCCCAGTCCCCTACCAATAAATTCTTATTTTCTAAGTTGATAGATGTTAACCTTGCCTGTCAGAGTGTCCTCAAAGATAACCAGATTATACTGAATTAAGATTCTCCCCCAAGTTTTATTGGTCCTTGATTCTAACATCCAGTATAAAAAGTATACCCATTTTTAATTCATCATAAGAGGATCTAGAATCTGGTAGTTATCCTCCTGGGTCAGGAAACCCTTCTCAAGCATTCTTGAATATGGACTTATACAAGTGGGTTTTTCAAATTAACGTTAAGACTTTATTTTTCTTAGTAAACTCCACCCCCAATGTGGGACTCGAACCGATGACCCCAAAATCAAGTCACATGCTCCACCAATTGAGCCACCCGGGTGCCCCAACATTAAGATTTTCTTTATTACCTACGTCATACTTCTTAAATTCAAAGATATATTCAATTTTATTAGACTTGAGCAGAAACTGTACTTAAATTTTTAAATTGGACTTTCCATATTTGTAAGATAAAATTACTATTAATAGTTTATTTTGCTCTACCTACATATTCTCAAATAATGTAATAAGCGAAAAGTTTCATTAACCAGGATTCTAAGGAACCCTGCCATGTAGTTTCTGGAGTTACTAAAGAAGTGTTTTTTGGGGTTTTTCTCCTTGATACCTTGTCGCCCTCTCTTAGTATCCCATGTCTTCATCATATTTAAACTCACCTCTTCAACACACACATAGTTTTTGAGAAATCACTGCCTATATATTCAGTTCTTGGAGTTGTAGTGGGTCTTAAAGTCTCATGAGTCTAGTTAGTGCTTTCTGAAAAAGTATATAAGACTCAAAATAAGTAGACTAACCCCATGCACGTACCCACTATTTGTTGTCAAATCCTTATATTTTAATTATATATTTTAGTCTGATTTTATTACCCTATTTTATAATTTATATTAAAAAATGTAATTATATCTGCTAATATATTTTATATTTACAACATAAAATCTATAATATTTATTATATTTGTACTCCTGGGTGAAATTTCATTGCAAAATGAATTCTCTGGGGCACCTAGGCGGCTCAGTCATTAAAAGTCTGCCTTCGGCTCAGGTCATGATCCCAGGATCCTAGGATCGAGCCCTGCATCGGGCTCCCTGCTCAGCCAGGAGCCTGCTTCTCCCTCTCCCGCTCGCCCTGTTTGTGTTCCCTCTCTAGCTGTCTCTCTGTGTGTGTCAAATAAATAAATAAAATCTTAAAAAAAAAAAAAGAATTCTCATCTTGGATGACTGGAGATGGCAGAGATAAAGTACATGTCATCCTTTCTTTAGCTAAAGAGGTACAAAGTGATAAAATATAAGAAATTCCAATTCTTTTCTATAATTCATCTGGCATATGTCATAAGTGGCTATTTGTGCCACAGAAAGTAGTTGTTTGCAAAATCTGGGTAAATAAATTTCTTTTACATTTAAGTATGGCATATGCTTTGCCTTCTTTGTCATTTTTATTTTCAGAAAGGTAGGAAACTGAAAGGAGTGTAGCAAGTAGATTTATGGCACTTAAAAGAGTAGGTAAAAAAGAGCCAAGTACAATTTCACAATAAAAATGTTTTTATACTGTGAAGACTATGTTAATTTGTTAATGATGAGAGATGGAGGAGAAGCTAAAATGGTTTCATGACATTTCATCTATATGTACTAAAAAAAAATCTTTAAAAAATAAAATATTTTATTTGACAGAGAGAGAGAGAGCACAAGCAGGGGGAGTGGCAGGCAGAGGGAGAAGCAGGCCTCCCCACAGAGCAGGAAGCCAGATGGGGGGCTCAATCCCAGCACCCCGGGATCATGACCCAAGCCAAAGGCAAGACACTTAACTGACTAAGCTACCCGAGCACCCCCAGATTCTTGGTGTATTTTAAAAATGCTTACCAACCTCTTACTTCTCATGCTTTAAACTAAAATATATAGAAATTCTAAATCCATTAAAGAAACTATATAAAATCATAGTAATAATTTTTTTCTCCCTTCTAATTTGTCCCCTGCAGCTATGGGCATCAATAATGGCTATCTAAAGCAAATAGCTGTCACATATTTCTCCCCTCTCCTACCACCAACTTAAAAAACAAAAAAAGCTGGGACACCTGGGTGGCTCAGATGGTTAAGCGTCCGCCTTCTGCTCAAGTCATGATCCCAGGGTCCTGGGATCGAGCCCCACATCGGGCTCCCTGCTCCGCGGAGAGCCTGCACCTCCCTCTGCCCTGCAGCTCCCCCATCTTAGATGCTCTGTCTCTCTCTCTAACAGATAAATAAAATCTTAAAAAACAAAAAAGTTATTAAGCTAGCTGACAATAACATTATTAAATAAAATATGATTTGATTGAAATTCTTGAGTGGGAAGGTATCCTAATTATGCCTTAATGTGTAATAATAACCAATAAGTATTTATTGATTACTATTGAAAGACCAGCACGTTGTGAATAGTTTATGTGAAACTGCCCTTACGTCTTTGTAAAAACCTCTAACGTGTCAGGAAAAACAAGAAATGTGGTCCATGGAAGGAATACGGACTGAATGACAAGATGGTACAGCATTCAACCTTAAAATAAGGACATTTTGCCCTTATCCTTTTGGCATTTGATAATAAATATTTGTACTTAAGATCTTGTTTTCAAGTTAGCTGCTATTTAAGAAGCTAATGTTATATTAAAATATTTTAATTAGGCAATGTACTAGTTTTACTCTGTACAGTCAGTTTCTGAAGTAAATACCAATTTCATATTTAGTGTATACCTGCTCAGCCCTTTTTGCTAATTCACGTTGGATCTTCCTCTTCTCTAACATATCCTGCTCAATTCTGCGTCTTCGTTCCTCCTCCGTTCTCTTTCTTTGTTCCTCTTGTCTTTGTTTCTCCATTTCAGCAAATCTACCTTTAACAGTTCCTAAGAACATATGAAACATGTTTGATATTTTGCTATGTTTCCCGTTTTGCAATTTATTTCCCTCTCAAGTTTCTTACCTGTTAGCTTTGGGACATAAGCCTTTTCTACTTTCGAAGATACCTCTTCCTCATCATCAGAAGCAAGCATTTCTTTAATCTAAATGGTTAAATAAATATGAACATGTCCAAAATTTAGACTAAATTATATTATATACCGAGTTTGAAATTAACTTATAAATACAGAAAATTATTTTATAGTTAATATAAAATATGGTTAATGTGAATAATAATGTGTAAATTAAAAAGATGAAAATTAATTTTGCACAAGAATAAAATAAAATAAAATAACCTCCTGCTTTCTCCTGTTCCATTCTCTCTCTCTAATATATTGTTCTTTTCTTCTTTGTTTTTCATCTCTAGATCTCCTTTGATTTCTTTCTTCCCTGGCTCTCTGCATGGCTTCAAACTTATCCTTTACATCACCCTTGCCAAGTTTTGGCACATAGGTTTTTGGGACAGGTTTAGATGAAGAAAGCAGAATCTTCGTTAGAAGAAAATAAAGAGAAGAAAGTTAAAAAAAAATAAGATAGGAAGAAATCAAGTAAAGATAGATCAGAATAAGCAATATAAGAAATACTTATTGAAACAAAATAGAAATGAGTTTGAAACATTTGTACAATCATAATCTGATTATTTTCTAAAGTCTAAGTATGAAAAATGAAATTTAGAAAATATGAATAAAAACTTATTAATATAAAGAAGTTCCATTTTGTAGGTATGTTCCCCTGAAACTGAAGGCTAGTAAAATATAAAAATTGAATACTGGATTCTAATTTAAAACAATATATTTTCCTACATTATTAAAAATTCAGATTTGACATCTCTTACTTAAAAGATACCAGGACTAATTTCAATAAATAAGGTGAAAGTGAAAACAAGGCAAAAGTTTAGGCTTTCAAGTTTAAAGCCTACTTCATATGTCAATGCTCTTGCTTGTTTCCCTATCAAATATGAATAAAACTGAAGGGCAGTCCTTTATTCCCATGTATGGCCGAGATGTGCCAGGGTCTTCACATACAAGCAGTGATTTAGAGGTTGACTACTACACAACCCATCTAGAACCTCTGTACACCAACATTAAAAATGTGTAAAAAGGCTGTATCATTCCAAGTAGGTTGACCTCTGAGATGGCAAAAGAGCTTCCCAGGAAAGGAGGAATCTAGTAAAAGACTGGAGGAAAGATTTCCCTCCACTGTAAAACCAGGAAAACCAATTATTTTCATCGTTTCAAAAATTAAGCAGATTGCTAAAAAATTTCAGTAAATAAAACGTTGGTGCCTCAGAACATCAAACCCTTTTCTCCTAGTGATAATGGCAAGTTACTTATTAATCTGTGGCATACCCAGCCTCTATTTTATTATCATCTTATGATGTCATTGGCCATTTAAGGTTTTTTTAAACTTCATAATTTTGGGGTGTCAGCAACTGAACTCTTCTTACTACAACTCCAAGTACAGCCAAGAGCCAGAAAAAGGTGAAGAGAAGTTTTGCTGCAGCTGCTGGAAGAAGTAGCTGAGAAGGAGCCTCTCCTGAGAGTGAATTATTGCTTTCTCCTAAAGATATACATCAAATCTAGTTTTTTAAATACTAAAAAAAGTAACTTCTAAGACTTATTAAGGTATTAAAATTCTGTTCAAGGTGCTAGCCATCACATCCGCTTCACCATCATTCACAAATTTAATAATTATGCTGCCAAGATTAGAATCCAAATGAAAATACTGGGCCCAAGAACAGCCTGTGAATTTTAGCTTTTACATTTTCTATCCTGACACTAGGTCATTATGAACTGTGACCTTTCCACCAAGCAGCTCTACCATTTCCGCAGCTCTATAGTCAATCCTACGTTTCCCCCATTTTTTTTTTTTTAACGTTGGAGACTTACCTCAGCCTTTTGGGAAATATCATTCATGTTTGCTGTATGTGGTCTCACGGTGATTTTAGAGTTTTGTATATTTTTGCACCTGAAGAAATAGATTAGTACTGAATAACGATTTTTAATTACTTAATTCTTAATATGCTATGTATTTTTGTAAACAGAAACAGCATGTTAATTGCTCCTCAAAAAATACTGACACAATCCAGGCAAGTAATAAACTGGAATAACCTTCAGCTCCTTTTCCCAAGATTCAGGGTATAGAAGGGACAAGGCACATGGCATTAAGAGATCCTTATAGGGGCATCTGCGTGGCTCAGTTGGTTGAGTGTCCAACTCTTCATTTCAGCTCAGGTCATGATCTCAGGATCGTGAGATCAAGTCCTGCAAAGGGCTCCATGCTCAGCATAGAGTCTGCTTGAGTTTCTCTTTCTCTGCCCTTCCCCTTGCTCATGTACACACACTCTCTCTCAAATAAATCTTAAAAAAAAAGATCCTTATAAATTTATGGTCCAGAATAGCGTGGTCAATGTATCAAGAGCCCTTGCAAAGAATTATTCTGGAGTGCCTGGGTGGCTCAGTAGTTAAGCATCTGCCTTCGGCTCAGGTCATAATCTCCAGGGTCCTGGTATCGAGCCCCGCATCGGGCTCCCTGCTTGGCAGGAAGCCTGCTCCTCCCTCTCCCACCCCCCCTGCCTGTATTCCCTCTCTCGCTGTGTCTGTCAAATAAATAAATAAAACCTTTTTTTTTTAAAAAAAAAAAAAGAATTTTTATTCTGCTGTTACTGGGTATATTATTCTATAAATATCAACTAGCTCAAGGTAGTTGATGGTGTTATTTAGATCTGTGTCTTTACTAATTTGTGTGTGTGTGTGTGTGTGTGTGTGGCCTAGCTCTTCTAACAGTCTTCAACTATGTGGAATTGGCTATTTCTTCCTTTAATTCTGTTATTTTTTTCATGTAATTTCAAGCTCTTTTAAGTGCATGTGCATTATGATATCTTCTTTTTGAAATTACTCCTTCATCAGTATGAAATTTCCTTTTGATCTCATTGTCTTGAACTTATCTGATATTAAAATAGCCACACCAACTTTCTTAAGTTTAGTCTGCATGATGTATATAATTTTCTAGGCATTTACTTTATATTTGTCCATATAATTGGACCTTGCTTTTTTGAAAAACCAATTCTGATATCTTTTAATTGCAGCATTTATTCCATTAACATTTAATGTATTTATATGCACGGACTTAAGCCTACCATTTTACTATTCTTGTTTGCCTTTTTCTTCCTCTATTACTCTTTCCCTACCTACTTCTGAATTGAGTAATTTTCAGAATTTTATCCATTGGCTTAAAAAATTTTAACAGCTTTACTAATACACATACAATAAACTACACTTTCAAAAAGTGCACAATTTGGGGCACCTGGGTGGCTCAGATGGTTAAGCATCTGCCTTCAGCTCAGGTCATGATCCCCAGGTCCTGGGATCAAGCCCCATGTCTGGCTCCTGGTTTGGCGGAGAGCCTGCTTCTCCTTTGCCCTCTGCCTCTCCCCTGCTCATGCTCTTGCTCTATCTCTCTGTCTCAAATGAATAAAATCTCTAAAAATAAATAAATAAATAATGCACAATTTGATAAGTTGATATATGTATGTCCTTGTGACACCATAACCATAATCAAGAGAATATATGCATTACCCACAAAGGTTTTCTCAGACCCCTTAACTCCCTTCATTTCTTGCTTCTCTCACCCCCATCCCCAGGCAGGTACACTTTTGGTCACTGCATATTAAATTTTCTATAAATGGAATCAGATTGTATGTACTCTTTTGTCAGGCCTCTTTACCCAGCATAATTATTTTTGAGATTCATCCATGTTGTTACATGTATCAATAGTTCATTCCTTTTTAGTACTGAATATTAGTCCATTGTATGAATATACCACAATTTGTTAACCATTCATCTGTTGATGGATATTTGGGTTGTTTACAGTTACTATTACACATAAAGTTACTATGAATATTCATGTACAAGTCTTTTTTTTATGCTTTTTTATTTCTCAAGTAAGTAAAGTATAATGGCTAGGCCTTATGGTAGATGTATAACTTCTTTCTTTTTTTAAGATTTTATTTATTTGACAGAAAGAGAGACAGCGAGAGAGGGAACACAAGCAGGGGAAGAGCGAGAGGGAGAAGCAGGCTTCCCGCTGAGCAGGGAGCCCGATGCGGGGCTTGATCCAGGACCCTGAGATCATGACCTGAGCCAAAATCAAGAGTGGGATGCTTAACTGAGTCAGCTACCCAGGTGCCTAATTAGTGAGCTTTATGAACCTTGAAAAAGTTAGTGTAACTCTTTGTTCCTTTTTAAACTTGTTTAGACTATTCTGAGTCCTTTGAATTCACATATAAATTTTAGAATCAGGTCGTCAATTTCTGTAAAAATGCCTGCTGAGATTTTGATTGGGACTGCATTGAATCTGTAATGACATCTTGAGTCTCTCTTTTTTTTTAAAGATTTTATTTATTTATTTGACAGAGAGAGATGGTGAGAGGAGGAACACAAGCAGGGGAGTAGGAGAGGGAGAGGTATCCTTTTAACATAAACATACTGATAAATTCAATTTGATAAAACTTTAAGTTTTGCATCCATGTTTATCGGAGATATTGGTCTGTAGTTTTATTTTTTTGTAACATCTGCTTTTGTTAACGGAGTAATACTGCTCTCATAGAATGAGTTGGGAAGTATTTCTTCTTTAATTTTCTATAAGACTTCCCTCATGTACAACTGATAATCATTTTTTCCTTAAATGTTTGCAAGAACTTTCCAGTGAAGCCATTGGGGCTAAAGTTTTCTCTCTGGAAGAAGACAATATGATGGAGGTGGATGGGACAGGATTCCATGTAATTATTAACAAAATCCTAACTTTTGTTGTTCAGTGAGCCTGTGGATGATTATTACATTATTAACAATACTTTCCTAATAAAAGCAGGCCATGCATGACTGTGTATCATTACCAAGGTTTGTGAGTAATCTAATTCTGTGTGCCTGAGATAAAAATAACAAATAGCTCTAGTCCTGAGCTATTACCTGAATCACTCGGTCATATCTAGAGTTACCTATTAGAGATTTCTTCTTGTACAACCAATAAAATTTACCCTTCATTCTCATAGCTTCTCAAACCTTAGAATTATTTCCAGTTCATTCTTCTTTTAGATCTCCTAAATTATGATAGATTGTCAAGATTTGTGAATGTTTCTTTCAAATTTGTTCATATATATTACTTCACTGTTTTCACTGCCTCCATAACAACATAGGTGAGCCTTTATCACCTCACACTTTGATTACAATTTGATAATCACACCTAAATCCAAATTTCAATTCTGTGCTTCCTAGTTAGGATTAGATAACATATGTGAAAAATTCTAGAATAATACCTAACAGTAGGTACCCATAATTTTGATTAATTTCATTATTCATGGTCTCCCTCACTACCTTTTTTACCCTCTTCAGTAAAAAACTACATTTCCGTGCCAGTGAGCACACATTAATATATTATTTGTGTAATCTAAAAGAGTAATACCAAAGGGTAAAAGGAAATTTTGAGCAATCTCACATAGGATTATAGGGATTGATAAATTTAGCTAAATTAACTGGCCAGAGGGAACTTCAGAGAAAAAAATTTTTTTGGGGGGGGTGAAATGAAAGAAAATTGTGTGGTTTGGTGATGGTGAAAAATTAGCCTGTCAAGAACAGTCCTGGAGAATAAATGAATCAGCTACCTTCATTTAATTTTTTAAAAATCTTCAAATTATATCTTGACTTATTTATAGATTCAGAATAAAGTAAGTTTAATTTTTAAATTCAGTATGAGTAAAACCAGTGAAAATAGTCTTTTAAATAGCATGTCAGTATTCTGAACTCTGAAAGTCTGTGAAAATTTGAATAGTATTAACTTTAACTTCTTTAAAGAAAATATGAGCAAGTGATCCTTTGCTGAGTTTGCTCTGTTCTGCATTTTGATGATTAAAAACCTGTAGCAAAATAAGTTTATTGGCTTTTTGTCTTACAGACTTGTCTTTTAAGGTGTAGATTACAAACCAGTAGGAATTCCTATCTCTTAAATAGTTTTATGTTAGAGAAAAAAAATTTCAAGATCAAGCAGGCAAATATCTATATGCTTCCTTTATATTTTTTATTATTTTTAAAGATTTTATTTAGAGGGAGAGGGACAAGAAGACTCCACACTAAGCGCAGAGCCCGATGCAGGGCTCCGATCCCACAACCTTGAGATCATGACCGGAGCCAAAATCAAGAGTCAGAGGCTCAACCAACTGAGCCACCCAGGCACCCCAGGATTCCTTTATAATTTTTAAAAGGTGTGACTCTGCCTGGTAGAAACAGCATTATATTCCAGTTGCTAACCCAGTTGTCTTTCTGTGCTAAAGTTAAAGGTATGAATTTGACTACGTTTGGATCATTAACTTCACAAGAAAGAATTCTATTCCACAGTCCTTATCAAAACTATCTCACTAATACATCCTTGGATCACATATGAATCAAATGATGATAATAATCCAAGCTAACATTTATGGAGCCTTTACTGTGTGCCAGGTAATGTGCCAAGTGTTTAACAAGCATTATTTCATCCACTCCCCTCAATAACCCTTTCAGGTAAAAACTATTATCCACCCTCTCTCAAAATTTCCAAGCCCAGTAATTTTAAAATTCTTAAGTGGTTCCGGGGCACCTGGGTGGCTCAGTCGGTTAAGCTCAGGTCATGACCTAGGGTCCTGGGATCAAGTTCCACATCAGGCTCCCTGCTCAGTAGGGAGCCTGCTTCTCCCTCTGCCTCTCTCCCAGCTTGTGTTCCCTCTCTCTCAAAATAAATAAAATCTTTAAAAAAAAATAAAATAAAATTCTTAAAATATTAAGACGAGAATAGTATCTTTGAGTTTATCTAATAGGTTTGAACAATCTGTACATTGTTACAGATAGGAAAACTGAGACTTAGAAAGTTAAGTAACTCGCCCAGGACCACACAACTAATGAGTGGTGGACACAGGATAAACACAGGCAGACTGACTACAG